TACAACAAAACTAGAGGGACATCTCTTTTTGTGCGAAAATTGTACACCACCTTGTACATAATCACTACGGTGTTTGTCAGGTATCAGTGTATGATATACACTTGCAGTCTTAAGATTGAGCTGCAAAACAAATATAGCAATCCATTAATGTTAACCTGTAATGCAGTTAACCCACCCATGGAGACTCATTTAATTGCTCATTGGTATGGAAAAATAATATAAATATTATGTGAATACGTAATTTGATTGAAATGTACTTCATGTAAATGAGGTTCCAAAGGATTTCCCTCATATTATAATATCGTTCGCTTGTGTGAACTGGTATGAGCGGATTTAACGAGGAATATATATGGCCGATTACCGCTGAAATACGTCATTCGGATTTATATTTGGAAATAATTTAATTCCTGAGCGACTTTTTTCATCTATCTTCATTAGGCTCTTTGCAAATTATGTAAGAAGTATCGTATCTTAAAATCGTCTGACACCAGAATATTATCTGAAAACACTCGCACTTATAAAAAATAACACTAAATATATGCATTTGATAGCAGAACTGTCAAAAAATTGATTGATGTCAAGTGCCATTTGATCCTCACTACAGACTATGAGAATAAAGAGACAGTGTAGTAGTAGAAGAGCCACTCCATCGAAAAAACAGATTGTGCCACGTTGGCTAAGATTACACCTCTGCTGGCTGAAACGCATTCGGATGCGATTACCCATTCATTACCTGCGGTAATATAATAGTCCAGGAAGTATCTTCGCTTCTGCTCGGAAAAATATTCCGATTATGTTTTTTGCGCAACCCTAATAAAAAAGAAAAACAATTGTTGACGCAATTTTAGGTTTGACAACACGTAGATTCGTCAAAAGGGACCTTTTTTTCAGTGAGATGATGCGAAAAATAATATACTTTTAAGCAGATGCGAATATGCTTCTCGTACCGAGATAGTCGATGGCCGGCACTCGATCCGAAGTGGGTCGCGAAGCTGTAGGATGTGTACATAACAAGGCGATTCACTATGACAAGTTGTTGCTACGTGCCTGGATGCAAAATAAAGGAGGGAAATGGTGTTCCGATGCCTTGCTAATGATTTTAATGACGTATTGTTATTCCAGCATATTCAGTATCCGTTTTTCCATATAGCCTAATCATATACTAAGTGACATATAAATCCGAACACCCAGTTTAAATGGTTTTATTTTAATAAAATTTTGTATAAGTACTTAATGAAGCATAATAAGTAAATGATAAAAATTTCAAAATGATTGCACTGCTTTAAAGCCCTTTGACCTTTAATAATGTGTGGATGCACCCTGATGTGCTACGCATTCTCCAACGCGCCTAGACATGTTTCTGAACAGGTGGTCAATGTCCTCCTGTGGTATCTCATTCCAGGCAACCACCAACTCCTCTCGAAGTGCTTCTAGAGTCTGAGGAGGACGTTGCAAATTGAGCAATCTCCTACCCATCATATCTCACACGTGCTCAATTGGGGATAAGTCGGAAGATCTTGGTGGCCATGGTAACAATGTGACATCATTATGTTGAAAGAAGTCTATTGTGACTCTTGCAACATGTGGTCGGGCATTATCTTGTTGGAAAGTTGGATCTGCCAGGGTGGCAAGATAGGGTAAAAGATGGGGTTCTAGAACTTCGTGGATATAACGCTGCGCGTTCATGTTACCTCTGATGAAGATTAAAGGTGACCTGGAACCATAAGCTATAGCACCCCAAACCATAACTCCAACAGTGTGATGAACATGTCTTTCAACAAAAAACTGTGGATTCCTCCTTTCACCACGTCGCCTTCTAACCCTGGCACGACCATCGTGCATGCCTAAACAAAATCGAGACTCGTCACTAAAGACAATACTGTTCCATTCCTGATCCCAGAGTGACCGTTGTCTGCACCACTCAAGGCGATTACGTCGGTGTTCTCGAGTTAAAGGGAGGACCCAGTGTGGCCGGTATGAAAACAAGCCAAAACTTCTCATTCGTCGGTAAACATTTCGCATGCCAATAGGTCTTCCGTGTTCTGCAAACCATTCATTTGCAAGGAATCTAGTAGTGGAGAAACGGTCCCTTAAGGCCAATAATCTTAGGCGGCGATCTTCACGGTCTGTTGTTCTACGGCGGCGTCCAGTGCCCCTTGCTCTTTGCGTACGGCCTTCTCGAAGCCATGCCTGACAACACCTAACCACAGTGTCTACACTTCTTTGCACTCTAACTGCAATTGCCCGAAAAGAAAGTCCAGCTTCCCGAAGTCCCACTATACGGCCCCTATCAAACTCACTAAGTTGACGAAATCGTACAGGTCTCCGTACTCTAGGCATCGTAACCGATCGTAAAGGATGTCAAGAACCAAAATCCGCCAACGTTGATTCTTTACTGCGGCTGAAATATTCATTTTTAGAGCGTTAGTGAATTAAAAAAAGCAGTATAAAAACCGAAATGTCCAACTGATAAGGCTGAAAATTTTTTCACTTGTTATTTACAGTACGATAAATACATTCACCAACTTTTATTAAAATAAAACCATTTAAACTGGGTGTTCGGATTTATATGTCACTTAGTATATTAGCAAATTTCCACGAAATAATTGTAAAGTCTGATTTTATTAATGCAAGTTGCTCAAGTGGCTATTTGAAACATGGACGCATAAAATGGGTACACCAATTTTTGTGGGAAATATTTCTATTCGGCAACAAAGAATGAGTAAACATGTTTTTTGGGATGCGATCAAAAGTGTTGACAGGAACGAAAAAACTATTCAAATAAGATCTCTAAAGTGTATTTACACCCAAGATAGAATGAATGCGTGATTGCCAAAAGCAAGGACGGCGTACAGGCCCGCATGCAGGGCTACATCCGAATGATGGACTACCACCAACGTGTTGTAAAACAAAGATGACAGTATTTAACAGGAACAGAAACTTGTCAAATTACTCAAATACACTTAACAACAACAACAGCAACAACCAAGCAAGGTGAATACGAAAACACGAGCACGCAGTGATACACGCGACGGTCGGTGGCCTGAGTGCAACTCTGCCTGCCCTGCCCGTGCCCCGCGCATTATTCCGCCAGGCGACCGCTTGAAATTTAATGGCGAATTGACCAATAAGAGGCGTTGTCCCCACCTGTTACCGAGAGATCAGGCGCTAACTGTTATTATTTACATCTCATCTTGAATTTGGATTCAGTTTAGGTATTTATGGGACCTACAGAATGAGACCACACATAAAAAGATCCCACTAATAATAAAAAAGTTATCGCCGAAAACCGAGGTAAAATGCAGGTTACGGTACTTATTGCTTATGCGACTATAATTTCACGCAGCTACTTGAAATTCTTCAAATCCGAAGGCTTCTTACTTCTAAATAACCACAACAAAATTTGAGTCGATTGGTCAAGTAGTTTTTCAGAATTTCTAATTGTTTATCCCAAAACACCTGTCTTCCGACCATCACTACAAGTTTATTGAGCAATATACAGAGTTCGTTCAAAGGGGATTTTATAGCAAAATACACAAATTTACCATTCCGATATGAATTACAAGCCATTCCGGAAGAGAATTGTTATTTTTATGCGAAAAACGAAGGGTTACGTTTTTTCTTCTAAACAAATTCAAACATATCGCATTTGTCAGTTTTTTATCTTCGCAACAAAAGATGATAGACACATCTGCTTTGTTTTAAAATGTGTATAATAACGTATGTTTTTCGGATATCGTAGCTAATCTGTTCAGTTACTCAGAAATACGAAATATTTGAAATTGTTTAGGAGAAAAAAAGGAAACCTTCGTTTTTCGCATAAAAATAACAATTATCTTTCTTAATGGCTTGTGATTCATGTAGGCAAGGTAAGCTTGTTTATTTTGCTACAAAATGCCCTGTGACTGAAGCTACAAGATCCAAGGCTTTTTCGCAAGTGCCCCTTCTACTGGTATCTTTGTAATCTTTGCTTCTACCTAGTCTAAATTCGTTGCTGTGTACATACATTTGTTTATGAGGGTATAATTTCAGTTTATTTATGTATACGTATGTTAGTTTTAGTTATGCTTGTACAATACGTTAATGAACTTATTATTATTATTTGAATCGGTTGTACCTCCGTAGGGGAATGCTTCAGGGGCGGCATAACAAATGGGTAATTTACCAATATCATTTTTTTTGTATAATTCAAAGAGATGTATGTATAAATACCAGAAGGGAGAATAATGAAAAAGTAGATGCGCACCAGGAAAAAAAAACAATCTGGTTTCAAATGTTACTTTTTCGTATAGATTTCGCGGAGACGTGGTGGGTGATTATTTTAACATGCTATGGAACATTATAAGTGGAGATGATCAAACCTCTAAAGGGTGCTCTTCGGCCCCCGAAGGGGGGAGCAGGGCTGAACGTGACCAGTCCTCCCCCTGAGAAACCTGGTTAAACCTTAAAAATTTGGGGGATTTGATCCCCCTGGGAAAAGTTGCTAACCCCCGCACTTCAAAAAGTTTTAGGGGCAAGTACACCTTCACAAAAATTCCCACGCACTCCCATCCTAGAGAAAAATTTCTCCGGTCGCCCATGGGGGTACTTCAGATGCGTACCAAAAAAAAAACTAGGTAGCTGAAGTATTTTTTAAAGATTTCACGACGATATCGGTGATCATTTCAAAATTCATTGGATGATGAAGGATAGCAACTGTTTCCTTACAGATGTAGTTCCAGGGGCGACGAACTATAGATACGCACAAGCACTTCCAATAAGTTTTATCAATTGTAGAAATTAGCCCAAACATCGTCGTGTAAATAACTTTTTCAGATATGGCATTCTCCGGGTACGTATCTTTTCTAGCGCCTACGGGGTACATTTATTTCCACCTATATGCAAAAACTTTTAGATGCATTTGGTAATATCAACCAGAAAATATGCATGAATTCAATACTGTGGATGAAAATTAATACCTGATGTAGCAGTCATACTGTAAAACAAAAACACGTTGTATACAGGATCAAATATTTTATTTGCATAACAGTGGGTCTGATATAAAATATACAATATCATTTTAATGAAGAAATACAACATACACATGTTTATGACTTATAGAATTGGTATATTAGATAAACTGTTAATGAAAAACCATCTGACGAAAAAATACGTCTTCATAAGGGGGGGCGGATATTTTTATTCTAAAGTCTAAATCCATTAGCCAGTCTCGAAATTAAAAGAACTCTAAAGAAAATCAACACTCAACAATCTTAATATACTAAAACTTGCGCGATTATGTCATTCAGACTTTTCATATAAACTCAATATCACTTTTTCCCTATATTTCATTTTTGCGAAAAAACGCGTTGAAGAAGTCAATTTTTTCAGCCATAAATTACAATGAGCTTATACAAAAAATCCGATACTAAGGACACCTTCATCCAATTCAACCTCAACACGTATTGGCCAAAAATAACTAAATTTACTATGATTTATTATTTTCATGCTCAAATAAAAATGCTTGTATGGGTATCTTGTAAATTTTATACTGCAGTGACAAAAATCGACGATCGCATTTGACTGACCTGCAGTCTAGAGTCATAGGTTTTCAGAAATACATGAATTTTTTAGTATGCCAACTGGAGATACGACTGTCTTGCCGATCTCATGTAAACTGACATGGTTCATGAGATAATCAATCACCTCCATCAAGCTCATAATGCCCCAAACTGTCTCATGACAAATATTATTTTCAATGTCTGCCATGTTGACACTGCAAAATGCTATTTTATCCAAATTACACCCTGTTGAGACTGTTGCCATATATTATTCAACTGATAGTATGATTTTTAAGTATTTATACTATTTATGTATTAAATTAAATAATGTCAGTGACATAGAACCATGGATTTACAGAATGATTTCTGCCAAAAGGAGTATTCAATGGAAATTTATGACCGAAAGAAACATGGAATAACTTGTAGAAGCTGAAAATAACCAAATGCTTTATGTCTTATATTTCATTTTTGGCCAATAGGTATGGTAAGTGCTAAAACACACTTTGGTTCAACCATAATCATTTCTAATCCCTGTTCACCCAGATAACAAGTTTAAACAAGAAATATGCAATACCAAATCCTAAAAATATTTTTTCCTTCTGGAGTCTATTTACATTTTCTAATTCGAGCGCCATAACGCGTCGGTTCAGCTTTGCTAATTGTCTGCGAAGATGAACTATTTCTTCTGCTGGAGTCAAGTTATCACCTCCCATACTTCTATTCAGCAAAGACTGATCCCTATTGAACAAAGTAAAACCGGTTTAAGAAAATATTCTATCCTAAATCACAATGTCTGGCTATATCTTCATTTATCAGGTAGTGGAAAAAACTTATCAATAAAGATTAAATTCATGGTTTATTAAAAAAATGTTTGAATGTTTAACCTTATACACAGTAAAACAGCAATCAAATGAGTTTCGACTATTTAGAGCATACTAAATGACAAATCACTTTTTGCTTTCCAATGCAAAAGTTAGGATACATTCTTAAATTATTATATTCAACAATATAAACAAGAACTCACTTGAAAGAACCATTCATCTGCATACTCATGTCATTATAGTGTACTCGAGCATTTCTCTTGATCACAGGGATTTGATCCTCTTCAACCATGGTTTGTTCATCATCTTCCTCAAATTCTTCCACTCCTGGGAAGGGGTATTTGTCCAGAGTCAAAGTCCTTGGTGGTGTAGCAACTCTTGGCAAGTCATTTGGATATGGGTCTTTTGGGAGGATGGAATTGTCAAAGACCATCTCTCTTGGTGGTGCTCGAGTACCTGTATGAATTTATTGATGATTTAAACTTTCAGTGATGTCTGTAAAGAATCCAGAATTCAAGGTATGCACAAAGCTACCATCAATAGCAGCATAAAGCGATACAGGCTATATAGAATATGCTTGCTTTCCATCTCTATAACCATGACCACTGCAGACCAAGCTGTTTCATGCTTTTTAGCACTCATCAGTACAGTATAGGTCTAGCTTAAGTGACAGAAAAATGGAAAGCAAATAAGCAGGTAAGCTATAAAACTAGAGGAATATTAAGTATCACAAATTGAAGCTTCTCAGCCTTTTCTCCTTTAAATATTTTTTGATGCGTTGTAGAACAGATAATAACATTTATGAATACCTAAAAATTGACATTCAGTACTATCCATACAATACATATTGCAAAAACAATTTTAATAGAAGTTATATCAAGTAGACTATATATAAAGTAATGAATGTTAAAGTATAACCAGAATTTGCTGCAAAGTAAGATGAAGAGAAAATCTGCACAAGCAGAATATTTGCAGGACAATGGAGTGATGGAATAAGAATGGGCAATAGGTTTTTTCTGGGATTTGGGCAGGACACAACACAATGGAACTACATGTTTCATTTCCAAATATCCATATCCCCAACACATACATATTCCATCTTCCTCTTTGTGTAGCCAATTGTTTGTGCAACCTGACAGACATGTTTACTAGTTTTATCTCACCATCTTGAAAATTTTCTTAGCAAGTACTAGCCTTCCACATCTATGCTAGTTACTATCAATTTGATAACTAACTATTATGGTTATGCAATTTGAGTTTAACTTTTGAAGATCTTCTACTCCAATCTTCTAATTTATCAAAGTATTTGCAGGAAGTTAATGAAAATATTGGTCCCCTATTACTCAATTTATGTGTGGGAGAGAAAATAGAAGCTTCATTAAAACTCTGTTTACACAGTATTTAGTTTCCTTTAGAAAAGTTAAGCTTCACACATAATATTTAATTAACCAATATATTTACTTATTTCATATGACACAGATGCATAACCACACTGATAATCCATGAAAAGAGGCCTATATTATAACTCCACCAAAACTAGTTTCTATGCATGTTTCTTCTATAACCATATAAGTGTGGCTAGCTAATATCGCTTTACTGGCTATCAGATTTACTTTTCGTCATGAAACTCTCAGAATCACTGTTTCTGGGATATTCTTCATTTCTGGATGGAATCTCTATGCGATTTGAATTGAATGCTGAGTTTTGCTCCATGAGTGTGCATAGTGTTTCAGCTCAGTTTGCATGAGAATGTACTTTAAGAGCATACAAGAGTGGACAGTGTTCAGCTCAAATTAGATGTGAAGTTCCATCTAGGAATGAATTCTCTAGATAAGAATGTATATTCTCAAATTTCCAAAGATACATTGGCCTTATGTAAGTTAAAGGATTAAAGTGACTGCACATACCCACATGCTGATGCTGTCCAGCTACCAATATCCTCTCTGGCACGTTCATGGTAAAATGGTCTTTTACCCATGCCCCACCAGTCTCCCCATTTATGTCACCTGCACCATGGTTGAAGCTTATCTTGTCCGGTACCTTCATCTCGCGATTGATGTCAAATTTAAAATCAGCGTCGGTTACGAATGCATCTTCGACATAATGTGAGGGACTTTCATTAGCAGACATTTTTGATGCACGATCTATTTATGAATCAGTGATAAAATGGTACTGGATAGTTGGGTACGCGATAAAATTCTGAAAAAGCTAACGTTCATTAATATTATATCGCCCTGATACAACAGGTCCTGTTAGTGCTGATTCACCAAACTCTACGTACTAAGGTATTTGTAGAAGATTTTTTTGGAAAAAATATTTCAAAAGGAAAAATGTGATACTTGTTTTTATTTGGGTGACACGAATGACAGCCACAAAATGGCACAAAACATATGACAGCGATACGCAGTGTTGCCAGGTCCCCCGACGATGAAATTACCAAATGGATTGAGAAAAATCTCCAGAATGGCCATTTATCCCCATCAAGTTATGCCCGGGAAATTGTGAATCGAAAATTTTTTGAGGAAATCCAGACGGCAACATTTGACAGGACAAAAAAAATGGACATCTCTATTATTTTGAATGGAGCTGAAGTATTGACCGCCGCTGGTAACGTAATAACTTTGTGGTATGACTTTTAGGTCAGATTCGATGATTCGAAAATACTAAAAACAAAATATGAATCTGTACCTTCATTACGATCAGAAGTTGGTTTAAATCTCTTATTATAGGCTTCACAAATCTTCTGTTTTCAAAAATATATAAATCACACTTTTCGAGGGTGAACCAGAACCACCCATGTCCAAAATCTAATGCCCTAACAAGCGAAGGTCTATTACATGTCATTAAATTACTAAATTTGGTATGATGCAATTTCAGATCTCCGAAGGAACTTTTATCAATCCTTTGTCATGGCATAATAATATGTGTCTTATTTTCAGTTTTACAAGGTCTTTTCTTACTATCTGAGTCTTTGAAGATCTGTTTAGTGAGGCATGTCTTCTTACAACACTTGTAGTATCCGGCTTAGGTATTTTCGCCTTGGAACCTTTCCATCAGCGAGTCTACCAAAATCATATTACTAATGATTTTATATAATGGTCTGGAAATACTTAAACTGTTAAAAATTGAACCTTTATTGAATCACCAATGGAGCCAAAAATATTCCTAGAAATCGACAAGATGGAAAGACCGTGGCCAAAGCTTATCAAATACCGCCAATTTGGCGCGAAATCTCTAAATTTGACAACCCTGGCAATATAACGACAGGCAATTGACCAATTGACATATCTTATCGTTTTTCTATGGTATTGTTCTGTGACTTATTTCTTTCAACTTTTTCCGATTCTAATTTTGTAAAGCTTCCTGAAAGTGAATAAATAGAATGGATATTCAGTGTCTAAATACAATAGAATGTAATCAGGGTGCAGTGCGAGCAGTCAGATTCAACGGTAAGTGGTGTAAGCACAAAAAAAGGAAGTAAAAGCACAGAGCGTAAATATCCCGTTCTCCTTCAAAATAACGTGCAGGTCCGTACTCATTAAATTTTCAAATACCTGTAATGCGATCTTTCATAATATGAAATGCCAACATTACGTGTGCTAAATAAGCATCCATTGGGATAAAACTTACAGAATAACTGCTAAAAAAACTATAAATATAATCTTAATTCATTATTCTAGTTGACGGTTGTTATTGCTTGACTTGTGGATCAGACAAGAAATTAAAATTATGGAATCCATACCGCAGCCTATTATTGAAGACATACGGGGGTCATGGCAATGAGGTTTTGGACGCATGTGGATCTTGTGACAGCAGTCGAATTGCCTCTTGCTCTTCAGACAAAACTGTCATTACATGGGATGTGTCTACAGGACAGTCAATAAGGAGGTTCAGAGGGCATGCTGCCAGTGTCACATGCCTAAAGTATAATGAAGAGTCTACAGTTATTGTGACAGGTGGGATCATGAAAAAGCACAATGGCGGATCTAAGATGTGACACACTGTGTGTAGGGCCCTATGACTTGGTTTATAGGGTTCCAGAGTAGATAAAATATATGCATCCAAAGTCAAGGCATTCTAGCATGAACCTGCTCCTCCCTCTTTCGGTATATGGTGGGATTCAAATTTGCTAACATCGTAATGAGTACGAGAGACAATTGCGATAAACGTGCGATATATGTATATGTTAGAATGAGATGGATGCACCTCGTTGACTAGCGACCCGAATACGAGGGCATGGAAGCCGTTGACGCACTCTTTCTAACGTACATAGCGTACGCTTATCATACACATTACGACGTCAGTGGTATTTGGTTTTCAATGTAGAGCTTTGAGCCTTATAAATCGTAGATCCGTCGCTGCAAAAGCATTAAGACTTGTTTTTTGGTATTCATTGTTTTAATGTGATATTATAGGTTATATCACATCCACACATTTTTCGATGTATCTGCGTGACTACTTTAAACGTAAATAATTTTTGATGATTGGTTATAGGTAGCCAAGATAATACAGTGATGTGCTGGGATGTAAAATCTAGATCACAAGTACCAATTCAAACTCTGAAAGAGGCAAAAGACTGCATCACTTCCTTACAGGTTACTGATCATGAAATCCTGGTAGGATCTGTAGATTGCTCTGTCAGAAGGTATGACTTGAGGAAAGCAGGCTGTGAGGCAGATTTTGTTGGAGGTATATTGTTTACCTAAGCTACCAAATCCTTTCAATTTTGAATGTAATGCAATGCATTTTTTTAGCTCCAGTAACATCTGTTTCATTTTCGCATGATGGTCAGTCAATATTGGTTGGCTCTGCTGACAACACATTGAGACTCCTTGATAAAAATACCGGAGAGCTACTGTCTGAGTAAGCTATTACTTATCATTATTATAGTAGTTTCTTGTGATATAGTTTTAATTCGCCTGAAGTGACTGACGGGCTCAAGCATATCGTTTCACGTATTCTATTTGAAGAAGCCAACCATATACTGTATTCTGTCGTCCAAAAATCGATCTGAAAGATCCTAGCTCCATCAATGAGACCAGAGCAGAACACAAAAAATGGCGTCAAGTAGGTTGATTCGGCACTACCTGCGCACTGATGTCATCAGTTCACAAAGGATTATGTTTGGCATAAGTTGGTCCCTCTAAGAAAAAAGTTAGCTATGAACATGTATAACAAAAAAATTGAATGGTCAAGTTAGTCAAACAGGCTCATACAATTAAAATTTACATATTAGCAGTGTTTTCTGTACAATTTAGGGGCTTTCTATGATTCGGCTTCCTGAGAAAATATGCTACCTCTCGCTCCTCCAAAGGTTTTGGAGGCAAGTATGCTTTCACACAAAATTATCTCTTGCCGATGGATGGCCCTTCCCCTGAGAAAAATTCCTGCGGACGCACATCAGCGAAACTATATGGATGATGATCGACGGTCCACACCCAATGGAGCAGTGGACACTGTTACACAGACGCAGTGCCGCGAAGCGTATGAGCGACACACAGGGTCGGAAATATTTCATTTTAAGTTTTAAGGATAAATGTGCGTAGAAATGTATGACGAGTGGAATAGGTGCGTGGAATTACCGCGCCTGGAGGCGTATTAGTATCCGGAGGTCAAAAAAGTGAGATATACCTTCTCCTTCCTCCCTACAACCTTCCACCTCCAAATTTTTTACACTTACAGATTTTCAAAAATGATCAGGATCCTCTGAAATGTGATAAAACGTCATTTTTTGCCCTTGGTATAGTAGTAACCTTGTGTGAAAATTTCATCTAAATCCGACCAGTAACTTCCAAGTTGCGTCAAGGATTGACGTACAGACAGACCAATGGAAATGAGTGACATGGTGTTTCGTGATTTATTTGTCCTATAATATCAAAAAAAGATAACACATTTTCTAAATTTTACGCGAATGGCACAGGAAGCGAAATGAATTTCGAAATCTACTTTGAAAAGAGCTAAAGTGTTTGGTTCTGTTTCTGTCTCATAGATGGTCCTAGGATCTTCAGTCCATTTATAAACCTTCTTCAATGCCACTTTTAATTGGGTACCTTCATATAGAATATGTTAATCAATGCTGCAAGTGCGATTAACTACTGATAAACAGTGGTAGATGATTCAAATCTTATTCTGGATATTACAATGTAGTTTTTAGATGGCATCCCTCAAAAATTTTACTATCGAGTCAAATAGAATTAGAGTCTTCAGTTTTTGATTCGCCAGATTGTAGATGGCTGCATGTTTAATACATTTATTTCCTCATTCTTACTGTAGGTATATTGGCCACAAAACCGAAGATATGCAGATAGAGAGTGCAATAATAACGAATGACAACTTTGTTCTTTCCGGATCCAAAACAGGAGAACTCTTTTGTTGGGAATTGGTTAGCGCAGAAGTAATTAAAAAGTTTATTCACATTCCCAGAAAGGTCTTAAATTCTTTAAGCATTCATCCGAGAAAAGATGTTGTTTTAACTGCAAGTGTGGGCAGCATTAAACTGTGGGGAGACGCAGATGACGTCAAAATGGATAAAATGGAGGAAGGATGAAGATTGTCATGTCATGTAGAATACAAATTTAGTGTAAACTGGAATTATACGTAAATATTGTAAGAATCAAGAGAATGAATTTTATGTGCACTGGTAATATATTTTTTTTAGTTTGTAAACCGTGGTATATAAGCATTTCCTAACTATAGTTTTAATTGTTGATAGTTGATCATGGACCAAGGAATCAACACTTCTTTTGAGCCTATATAAGTCGTGTAAATACTGATGTTGGCCATGCGCAAACCTTGTGTTAGCCACGAGAAAAAGTATTTTTTACTTGCAGAAATATCAGAATAAGCGTTCACGTACGAGTTACCTGAAGCCGACTCTGTGCATTTTGTCAATTTTGTAATATACAGAACCTCAAACTGGATACACGTGCAGTACACCATAGAACCATAGAAGTGACAGAACTTATGTTTTTGTAGGTTATAAATTTATAACCTCAGCTCTGAAAATTAGTGGTGGTTGTAAATGTTGATTTTCGTGTAAAATAATCTTAATACAAGTACAGAAAAGTTTATAACAATGCCTAAAGTGCGCAGTACAACTGGGGCCCCGCGCAAGCAGGGCTTCAACAAATCCAACCATTCTATGAACCCCGAAAGATCCAAAGAAGGCCTCAAGGGGGTTGCGAAGGTGCGAACGAAGGGTACCATCAAAAGGTTGCAGATGTATAGAAACTTCAAAGCTAAGAGAGACAAGACTGGAAAGATTTTAACACCTGCCCCCTTTCAAGTAAGATTTGTACATCATAAAAATATTCTTTCATATTATTAAGCAGACATTTCACAAAAAACTGATGAATTGATGCCCAATGCATTCACTCAAGTATTTTCTATTAAACTCCAAGGATCCCAATGCATTAATTAGCTGTTATTTTTTAACAAAATTGAGTTGTCTATCTGTTTGTGTTTAGCTTCTATACCATGCATTACAATAATATAATGAGGTAGGTACACAAGTTATTATTTCTTAGGTGTTGCCAGAGATGCACTGAGTACTGCTTTTTTTTAAATTGGCAACAAGTAGGGTTGTCCCTGCAATGCTGTCATCAATTGATAAAGGTTTATATTTGGCACAAGTTAGGCCCTCTTAGAAATAAGTTGGGCATGAACAAAGAAATTAAATGTCAGTCAAACAGGTTCATACAATTAGTCCATTGTCCCCACAGATTTGACAACATTCTGATCTGGTCTACTGCCCTACTGACTGCACTGAAATTTTTCGTAATTACAATACTTTCACACTAGGCTGGGTAGCTCAGTGGAATGATTAGCAGTGATTTATTTCATTTACTGCCAGTAATATTAAATTAAGAATATTTTTGAGTTTTAGAAAGAACATGATTTACTTTTGTGACCTGTACCATTTTTTTGTTGGTGAAGCTCTGCAACAATATTTATGGTATTAAGTTTTATTATTCAAATATTCACCTTTGCAACTGCTGGGTATATATTTTCCACATAAAATTTATGACAATCTGGAGTTTGGTATCTACAATATTGAAACAAATAATTGTAACCACATCTTGACATTATATTTTTGGAACATTTTGCTTTTGATATACTTTTCAATCTTATATTACAAGAGAAGTAAATTTGTAAGGCAATCTTAACATGATAGGATGGTAATTTCAGACTTTTGTAATGGACCTTTCAGACCTGTGTAATGGAACTTTCAGTCATCAGTGAGAACCTTAAATTTGCAAGGTATATAATATTTTAAACCTACTTGAAGGTTAGCAATGACAGGCCCCACGTTAAACAAGCTTTAAATAAATACCTATCAAAATCCCTGTCATATAATGATCATCACAGAGAAACATTTATTTTAGCTGCTTAATGTTGTAACCAGACCTATTTCAATTGTGCTTTTTGTTGCTTTATGAGTGTTCAAAAGAAACATCAAAAAAGGCAATGCTACAATGTGGTTGAGCCTATAGTTTTTTTTATGAAAAAATATGTAGTAGTAGCACCTTGTAAAAAATAAGCTATGCAAATACTGTCAACAGACTAGCTAAACTGCAGAAAATTTACTAGAAAAACATCTAAATCAAGCAACTGAATCTGGTGAAAATATGCTGTAACCTTGGCTGTTTTTGATTGATGATGCTTCATTTTCTTGGTAAATTCTCAGGAAGATGTAGGAAAACTTGTATGTGCTTAACCTTTGCAGGATGCATCTTCTTTGTTAGGCACAAGTTGTGTGTCTTGCACAACCCTGCTTGTTGCTCTCCAAATCGATATTGAAATCTTGTAGAATGAATTATGCGATTAATGCTGACTTTTTATAGGGATGGTTGCCATCTGGAACTATGGCTAGAGTTGAACCAAATCAAAGATGGTTTGGGAACAGCAGGGTCATTTCACAGAATGCATTACAAAAATTTCAAACAGAACTTGGTGCTGCAGTTAAAGATCCCTACAAAGTTGTTATGAAACCTACAAATTTACCCATTACATTGCTCAATGAGAAAGCTAAAAATGCTAGGTAAGGTTGTTTGAATTTTTGCAGAACTAAGTTTCATGTTTAAATCATCCAATATAGATGATATTTTGCAATGCAGAAATTAATTCAGTCAATTTTGAAATATATTGATTGCTGCCTATATTTAATTTCTGGGTCTTACATAATATGGTGTTTTTTCTCAATGAAGTAAGAGCATATTGAAACAGAGTCACCTAATGAGATCAATTGGATAAGTTGCTCCAACTGTACCTTACATCGAAATATATTTTCATCTAAGATATGTCTGCATTATTGTGACGTCACAGGAATCAGTAGATTTGTAGATATGTATTTATTTTCAACACCTGACCCAATCGTATCTCATGCACATTTTCTAGAGCAATTTGGGAGCACATCTTTCTTAAACTGAAAAACAGCTATAATGTATGTTGTCACTACTATTATTATGATAGAATGTTTTACACAGGGTTCATCTATTGGAGACTGAGAGCTTTGAAAGTGTCTTTGGTCCGAAGAAAAGCAGAAAAAGGCCCAATATAGCTGTGAAAGGAATGGAAGAGCTAAAGGAACTGTCAGAAAAGAGAGTCGATGAATATAGTAATGAAAAGGATTCAAATATTGTTAGAGATAATGAAGGTGTAAAAGAGTTACCTAGAGATTGGGTAATGGGTGCTGGCCAGTCTAGGAGAATTTGGAATGAATTATATAAGGTCGTTGACAGTTCTGATGTACTTCTGCAGGTGCTGGATGCTAGAGATCCTCTAGGCACCAGGTAAGGTATTTTACTTATTACAGTTCATTTAGGAGATAGTCAATTATTTTTTATTAAAGCCACATAAAATGATCTTGATTCATTTTTTCAGGTCTGCTTATTTAGAGAAGTACCTGAAAACAGAAAAGCCACATAAGCACCTAATTTTTATATTGAATAAAGTTGATTTAGTGCCAACATGGGTAACTCAACGTTGGGTAGCCATTTTAAGTAAAGATTATCCAACAGTTGCTTTCCATGCCAGTTTGACACATCCATTTGGTAAAGGGTCTCTAATCAACTTACTTAGACAATTTGGTAAGTTTCTATCATTTCTATTATTTCATAGTTCATATAAATAGGGTCCAGTCAAAGGAACAATTTTTGACTGAAGCCAAAGCCATTGTTCAGTTTTTAACACAACTTCCGACTGAAGCTGAAGGTTTGGTTATTCATAAATCGTATATATAAATGTGAATATCTGTCGAGTCAGTCATTATCACTCTGAACCACAATAGGAAAAGTGGTAAAAATGTGTACATTTACTAATTGAAACCCGAGGAAGGTTATAGACGTAGTAGGAATAAAGTTGTAAGGATTCGTCTAATGCCGATCTTGAATATGACCTTGACTGACCTTCAAGAACACTTAAAGGTCAAGACAGTTTCTTGATTGAAACCCCAAATTTGACAGCAAAAATGTAAAGAGCAGAAAATTTTACGATAAAGTATATTTTTGCCCATGATCTTCATGGGCATTTCAGGGAGTTCAGAAAATAGGGAAAAGACAAAATATCTCGAAAAATACGTTTCATCAAGGAAACTGTTGTTTAATATTGTTTGAAAAAAAATCGTTCAATAGTAACCTTCAATATGGGCTTGACTAGGTCCATCAAGGTCATTTGAAGATCAAATGAATTCTTAATGGGAAACATCAATATTTAATTCCTGAAGATCAAAATTCCGACCAATTTTAAGTTCATGTATATCCTTTTTGAGGTCAGATAAATAATAAGTCAACTCCTTACTTTTTGTCGAGGATATAAAAAGCGAAATATTGAAACTAATTTATTGTTTGCATTGCATCACTTTGAATATTGAATTTCTTTCTCCGAAACCAAAGTCCTTCACACTAATGCGAAACGAATGATCTTTGTACTACTTCCACGCGAGCGGAGCCGCGGGTTTAGACTAGCTATAAAAATGTATGTCTCCAGGTAGACTTCTTATAAGTAGAACTTTTTTTATTCTATGCTATTGATTGAAAACTTAAATCTAGATAAAACATGAAAATAATTGAATTCAGATTAAGACAATGTGAAACTCTAGACAATGAATATTCTAGTAAAAAGTACAAAGCAATTTGAAGTATATCAGAGAATGACAAACTTCAGTAATTCGGATTATTTTCGCTAATCATACAATCGTAGCATTCTGGTAATAACATTAGCTTTCTTTATTCATTGAAACAGAAACTCAAAATTATGTATACGTTTTCAGTGCTACGAATACATTGGAAACACCCAGTTTGCTGGTATACTTCCATAAATTGTAAAACAACTTGTGTGAAACATTAAAAAATCATACCTTCCATGTAAAAGTCAGTTCTAAAAGCATAGTAACCATGTACATCATTTTAGTTTTTGACAAGGAAACATGTTACAGAATTGAAGTTGACTTATATGCATAATCATGAAGAACATTTTTGACAAAGAAAAACCAGTAGGTGTATATAATTAAATATTCGAGCTAAAAGTTATAGTAGCATATCAGTACCACATAGTAAAATGGCTTTCCTGTTAACGTAGGTTTGTCCTTACATCATCAAATCTTTGGCAATATGCAACTGGTAGGATAACTAATCATTCTGAGTGCATAATTGTTGTTAGCAAAAAGGTATGGACTAAGAACCAATATTCAGTACCCCTTAACACCTTGTGAAAGGTGAATTTGATGACTGCACAATTTTAATCTCTCAGTACTTGTTAATCACATTCTGAAGCTTCTATCAGACCCTACATAATATAAATAATGTAGGTGATTCAAAAACAGCATCAATACTCGTATCGCTAGTGCTTTTAGACTTCTATACATTTGATTTTTTTGCAGCAAAATTGCATATTGACAAAAAACAGATATCAGTAGGATTTATAGGATATCCGAATGTGGGCAAATCTTCAATTATAAACACCTTAAGGAGCAAAAAAGTATGTAAAGTAGCACCAATTGCTGGTGAAACTAAGGTATGGCAATACATCACTTTGATGAACAGGATTTACCTCATAGATTGTCCAGGAGTGGTGTATCCTTCTGCTGAAACAGATACAGAAAAGGTATGATTTCTAATGTAGCTTTCAGTATTACCTTAGTTTAAAAAATATTTTATCTTTATTTGTGTGGATAGAATAATTTCATGTTATTGTTTATAATCATTATAGGTGCTTAAAGGGGTGGTTAGAGTAGAATTGGTGAACAATCCTGAAGATTACATTGGAGCTGTTTTAGAAAGAATTAGACCAGAGTATGTAAAGAAAACTTACAAAATTGAAGAATGGAATGATCCTGAACATTTTCTAGAACAGATGGCTAAACGATCTGGAAAGTTGCTTAAAGGTGGAGAACCTGATATACCAAGTGTTGCTAAAATGGTAATTTTTAATTTCATTTTTTCGTCCTTCCCAACTGTAATGCAATAAATCTGTGTTTCCTAGGTGCTCAATGATTGGCAAAGGGGCAAGCTGCCATTTTATTGCTGTCCTCCTGGATTTGAGGTACCACTCAACAACAGAGAAAAAGGGCAAAAGTCTCTTGAAGTAGTACAGGACTTTGGAAAGATTAGAGTGGGACATACATTTGAAGGCGATGACGTCAAAAAACTGGAACCAATCAAAAACTTAGATAAGGCTGAGTCAGAGTTTTCTGAGGAGAAGTCTGAAATTGGCGAAGATAGTGACAGTGAGATAGATGAAGAGGAGGAAACTGAAATAGAGCAAACTGGCAAGGTGAATTCAGAAGATGCAGAAATTAAGAAGAAGGGAAAGGGTAATGGAAATAGAGTGGAGCATAAAGGAGAACAGGAAATTGACTACAATGAAGATAGTGATGACTCAGGCTCTGACATTAGCTTTTATTCAGATATGGAGACAGAAGATCCAGATAAACTTTATGCTGCAAGTGGAGTGTTTGAGGTGGAAGATTTAGGCAAAAAGAAAACAGGTGCAAAGAATGTACAATCCGGAGAAGGGAAATCGGAAAAGAAATTGACTAGCAAGCAGAGGAGAGCAATTGAAAGGGCTCACAAGAGGAAAAAGATTGGAAGCAATTTCTATGAGGTGACAAATGTCAAAAATAGAAACAGGAATAGGAAAAAAGTGAAAGCATGATTCAATAGGTTGTTGAAGAGGAACTGAGTTTATGTAAGAATATTTGTTGTTATTGTCCAACAGTATATTTATTAATAAAACATAACAATGTTATAACAAAAAACCGAATATTTAATTCTAATATTCATCTATGCTAAAAGTGATTCAAACACGATTTATACAGACTAGGGTAAGGATTTCAGTCACTATTAGAAAAAACTCCAAATATTGAGCAAACTGTAAAAATATTGAGCAGTTTTACAGAACTCCAATTCTAAAGTAAAATGAACGGTTAGTCCCTCTGTCGTGAAGTCTCTTAACAGCCAAAGTCAGAACAAGTGCATTTTGAATACAAGATGCTTGCTATGTGGAAAAATAGAACTTATTTTAGAGTTTTGTAAACTGCCATCGTTCCTTGAAAGACTGAGCATCTTTGCTGAACCTAACAATGTAAATGAAAAATGAAACTTGACTACAAGTTTCAGAAACATAAATCACTCATATGTAATTTAAATTATGTTCAATCAGAAATAACTCATTTGATTTCATGGAAATCATTCTTGTGACCATTAATTTATTTTTAGGTAATTAAGTTTCCATCATCAATTTGTCGCGTGCATTTCCTAAAACCATTTTGATGGATTAATACAGGGTGCGGCAGACAAACCTGCAATCTTGAAAAAAGCGCGTGAGCCAAGAAGGTGGGTGGGGCGAGTTGTTAAGGTTACCGTTGTGTTCGCTAGTTAAAAACATTTCAGTAGCCATGGAACAGTAGTCTAAGCAAGAACGCGCCCTCGCCGTGAAGACATTTTATCAAAGAGGTAGTTATACTGCGTGCGCCATCTATTACTTTTTTTTACCCATAAGTTTATGTGTTACCGTGTGAGTCAAAAGTCATGTGGTATGTATAAATGAACTGTTGTCAAAGGTATGCCATTTATTGTCATGGATTCGTTTACAACACAACAATGCATTTTGGTTATCCAAACTTATTACGAAAACGGTCGAAATATAAAAAATACTTTTCGCAAACTTCGCACACTAGTTTTGGCCGACATGGACGCCCTACAGAGCCTGGAATTCGTTGGATTGTTAATCGTCTTGAGGAAACTGGTTCAGCTGAAGGCCGTATATCATACCAACATGCTCGTCCAGCTCGTACTCGTGAAAACATAGCCGCAGTGAGTGAAAGTGTACGAGAAGATCCAACCACCTCGACTAGGCACCGTTCGCAATAATTGAGAATTAGTGAGACCACTTTACGCCGAATTTTACATATTGATTTACACCTCCATCCATACAAAATCCAACTAACACAAGAATTGAAGCCGGCAGACCATCAACAGCGGCGCGTTTTTGTTAATTGGATGCTGGAAAGAGAAGACGGATTTTCGGCCAAAGTGCTCTTTTCTGATGAGGCTCATTTTCACCTCAATGGGTACGTAAATAAGCAAAATTGCAGATTCTGGGGTGCTGAACACTCCACATCAATATAATGAACAACCTCTCCATCCTGAAAATGTGACTGTTTGGTGCGAATTATGGGCTGGTGGCATCGTTGGACCATTCTTCTTTGAAGATGCCGAAGAAAAGGCCATTACCGTCAACGAGGAACGTTATCTCGGCATGTTAACAGACTTTTTGTGACCACAATTGGATCGTATTGGTGCCGACGATCTTTGGTTTCATCAAGACGGAGCAACGGCTCGCACATCTCGCCAAACAATCGCCTTATTACACACGAAATTTCAAGACAGCATAATTTCACGAAATTCAGATGTCAGTTGGCCCCCGAGATCATGCGATTTTACACCTCTTGACTATTTTCTTTGAGGATTTTTGAAAGGAAAAGTGTATGCGAATGGCCCCCGGACAATTCAAGACCTAAAGCGCAATATTCGGACTGAAATTGCGGCCTTGGACCCGATTATTCTGGGAAAAGTCATTGAAAATTTTGCTGTTCGGATGTTGGCCTGTAAACGAAGCCGCGCTGGTCACATGACTGATGTTATTTTTCATACATAAATGGCATAACCCTTCATTTATCAATAAAAAAAATCGATTTCACCTCGTAAAAAGCGTGTTGATTTTTCAAATAGAAAAATAGAAAAAGATGACGCACCCTGTACAGCCGCTCAACGGCGCTTCCGTGACCATTTCCAATTTAATCGTAATCGGCCCGTGCCTTCTGTTAACTCAATAAAGTTATGGGTAAAGAACTTTGAAAACATCGGTGAAACGAGAAACAGAAAAGGTGGAAGTGCGAGATCAGTGGGAACTTCTGCGAATATTGAACGTGTAGGAATCGCTATGACAAGTCCTTGGACATCAGCGGGCCGACACAGTACTGGGCTTAGAATTTCAGTCAGGAGTCTCCGAAGGATCTTGAAGTTCTCTATCACCCCTACAAAATTCAAGTGGTTTTTTCAAATGATGGAAGAAACCGACGAACTGCACAAGTTGTTCTGAACAAGCGACGAGGCGCATTTCCATCTTGGCTACGTTAACAAGCATTTTAGATACTGGAGCGGTGCAAATCCTCAAAAATTCTACCAAAAACCTCTCCTTCTGGTCAAGGTAACGATTTGGTGTGCAATGTATTCATATGCCTATTCTTTTTTGAAGATGAAAGGGGACAAGCTATTACCGTGAATGCGGAGCGCTACTCGGAAATGTTACCAACATTCTTGATTGCTCGTCTTCGTGAAAATGGACTGAATGATGAAACGTTATTTCAACAAGATGAAGCCACGCGGCCCGCGTGAGCATGAATCTCTTCAACGAAGTTGATATCCCAGATCGGAGCCATTTCTTGGCCCGCCCGTTCACCCGACCTCAGTACATGTGATTTTTTCTCGTGGGGCTACCTAAAAAGCAAAGTTTTCGAAGAATCCCGGCCTCGTGCTCTTGAAGAACTGAAGGCGAGAATCCGTCAGGAAATGGATAATAATCCCTCAGCAGATGCTCCGTGATGTAATGAACAATTTTAGAGATCGCTTTCAAGAATGCATCGATCGAAATGGAACACATCTTAATAATGTTATTTTTGAATGAGTAATGTTTCTTGAATGCTTTATAACGTAAATTAACATGGTATCAATAAAATTGTTAAAAAGCATCCGTCTTTTTTTACAGTTATTACAAAAATGCAGGTTTGACTGCCGCACCTGTATCTAGAGTGAAAATATAAATTATTTTTCAATATACGTGTATAATTCACAAAACTAAAGACTAAGCTGGTAAATAAATCTAAGCTTAATGGTATGAACATAGTGCTGGAATAAATTGTTTAAGCTATGTGACTATAAAATATTTCGCAATTATTGGAAACTACAAACAAGTAACGGAAAACCAATCTTTATTGAAGAAAACATTGCAGCAAAAACTATACTATATAAAACTAAATCAATAAGAGGGCTTTGACTTACGGCTGCTTTTAAAAATGCAATTGTCATTGTGATTTTAAGAAAATATCTTACAGACCGGAAACTTTGTTTTTTAATAAATATGGACAGAGTTGAAAATCTGATCAAAGTGTTATCAATTAATTTATACTTATATCTAAAATACAAATGGCAGCCTTAGTTTTATAGGCTATATCAATTTTTGCTTTATTCTGAGCAAGGTTCTATTTGATTCCCATACAACTTCTAGAGTGGGTTTTTATAATGAAACCTAGATAAAGACATAATGTCACAGACAACCACGATTTATAAACGGCATTACAGCGCTTGCAGTGCGGTGTTAGAACGCACCCCTGTATAATTCATATTTGATTATTGTGCTGATAAACTACTTATCAAAAACTATCAGCAAATCGTAGCGAATTGCGTTTTACATCTACTTGAATTAGCTAATGTGGTGAGTGCCTCAGCAGCATCAAGTTCCTCTCTACCATGTACCGACTGTAAACTGGATGCCGACGGAGCGACTCTTACTTTCGCCTTGTGGTTATCAGTGTTACGTCCTAAGCTCTTCTTCTTTCGTTTCTGCCTCGCTGCCCAATCCAAGTAGCTGTCCTGACTAGGGCGAAAGTTGGCTGCACTTTCTAACCACCTGGAACAGTATCATAAATGACAATTTCGTAAAAAAAAATTAGTTGACTGAATGGGTCATTTAAAAATCTTCAAGAGACAACAAAAACCGTGTCATTAACAAATAAACCACTTTTAATAACTTTTGGGGCTTAATATAGTATTTGATTTCTAAACGAATGTCGAATAACCTTCACAGTGTATTAACTATAATAATGGGAAAAAATTGTTCTTGATTTGTAGGTCTTTCCACGGTTTTTGACGGGCTACAGAAAAACTTCAGAAATTAATTTTAAACATCCATCTCCCTCACATATCTGTACATCAGAGCCAGACTAGGTTAAGTCCAAATAAGTAGTTTTGAGATAATTGTATTTGAAATATTTTTCTTTCATTGTATTGTATGCGAATTGACATGCGTTAAAAAGTCGTAAAGTCCTTATTATTAAAGTTAGATGGACGCTGCATGTAGCAAATGTAAATTCACAATATTATCATAAGCTTAACATATTAAAATCATTTTTGACAAAAATGGACTTAATAACTTTGAAGTTGAGTCATTTATTTTAACAGTAAGTAGATCTGATCAAAAGAAATGTTTTTTCCTTTAACATTTTTCTGGTAAAATTAAAGTAACAAAGTTATAGCCCTTTAGAAGTTTGAGTACCGCCCTGTCTCAATAATAATATTATGTGCTCGTGTTTGGCAACAACGGATATAATCCGCCTTATCGGTTCATCGCATCGGAAACAAAAAAGCGAAAGAATTTGAAACGTTTATCACGATGTCAGTCAATGTTTCAGTCGGTAACGCGTGAGTGAATAGTGGTGTTTGTTGCGTGGCTCAAACGAAATAAAAAATAGCACATGTTTACGAAAATGCTGAAGTTGTGAACTTGTGGACATGATTCTTATTTAATCGAGTGCAACCAACCCCTCGTGCCTTTGTTAATGTAGTACAAAGGGCTCGTGAATCAGGTGACTTAAGACCTCACAGGGGAGGGCATGCCGGTGCTCCAAGACCGCACGAACAAATACAGGTCCGCACTGAAATACTTGTCGGGAGGATACTATATACAAACAAGGTAACATTTTTTTAATTTTTTTTTTATGTTTACACACATATTTTGGTTTATCTTCCTTCTACAATCATTATCTGAAAATTAATGACTCAACTTCAAATATATTATAGTATAGTATATATTAATGGGAGAAATGTTTTTTTGCAGAAATTTTTTTCTAATGACGGAACCATGGCTTTGTAGCTATGATAACTTTCAATTCTCTAAACTTATCCGCATATCAAAGAAAACATTTATTGATTTAGCAGAAATGATATTAAAACGCGATGAAAAAAAGATATTTGCAAAACCGTATACAGGTCGAGGACATCATCCAGTGAGTTTATATGGCCATATTTTAATATTCTTGTGGTATATGGCTACACAGGATACTTTGTTAAGCATAGGAACTAGAATTAAAGTGTTCCCAACAACAGTAATGAGTATAACTAATAAGGTGCTCTACTTTATGCTACAACTGAAGTCAACCTGTATCAAGTTTCCCAAAAATGAAGCTGAAGTACAAAAAAAATATCCAATACCCGGCAAAATTCTAGCTTGTCACATTTCAAAAAATAACCAGAAATATAAAACTACTCCTTAGTTGGGTAAATACCACAATTTTGCGGTGATAACGATGACATATAACAGCTGAGTCATGACGTCCAAACTGATAACCACACTCGCTTGAACGGATCGGTAAATACCAATCCAAAATGGTAAATACCATTTTTATTTGGTTATTCGCTTGAATTTGATTTATGTTTGTCATTGTCGGTATGACAACTTAGTTACCATGGTAGTGCGAGCTAACCTTTTGTTGATCTTGGATATAAAACATAAGACTGCCTAAGGTGCAACTACAATGTCGACAGTCCATGTTGTATTAATTTATTGCAGTACTTTGGGAAAGAATAAAAACTATTGTTTCCTATCATCCCATTCATGTGTGTGTCTAGGTGTTTGTGTGTGTGCAAGAGTGAGTAGCAGCTGCGTTAAGGATAGGCATTTATAATGTGCAATTCCCCTTAGGGCAACTAAGGCTTAGCACAAGGTACAGTTAGTCAATCTGATTACTTATTTCGTACGACATTGTGACTCAACCTCCTGAAACCATGAAAAGACACTATTTCACTAGTATCCATCACAGTAGAATGACAACTGATTGTCTTGTAATATCTCAAAATTCCCCATATCGGCACAAGAAATATATTTCTGACGGATCCGTCAACGTCAGGTAATCAGAGCCGTATTTTTTTTTGTACGCTACAGATTCATTTTGTACTTGCCAACAGCCCTTTTATTTAGAAAAGTTGATTTGCATACAAAAAACTAAACGCTACAAACAAGTTTTACAAGATTTACACCTGATTCATCATTGCCAACGCCGCAGACTAACACAAAAATGTCACTTGCTGATTAGCTTTTCACTTCAGTAGACGTCAAAGCGTGATAGATACTCGTGAAATTAATATTATTTTTTATTGAAAATCACACTTGAATATTGACTTTTAAATTTTGCATGTTTTAATATCTCTAAGGGGGAAACTCGGGCTATAGCGAACACAGCGATAAATTCGAATTTCACTCTTTTCACTCAAACCATGAATCGACTAACGTGGAAAAGTACATAGACTGATTGAACCTACTTCAATAATCGGCAATCGGTTCTAGCAGAACAAACTTGCTTATTTGACTACCAGTTAGTCAAATGCATTTTTACAAGTTAGCTGTTTTGCGTGTAATTCCATCTTTATACTATCTGCAGCGTATATTCAATGAACGTTTTGAACCATGGGAATGAGTATTGAGTCAACGATTTTGGTAGGAAACAAGAAAACTAATAAATAATTTTGGGCAAAGTGGATACTATGTATATTCGCCTGTAAGCTGGTTTTTGTAGATAGGGAATTTAAAATGATTTTTGTAAGGACCAACTCGGATAACTGTGGTCGTGTAGAACATGGAAAAGCATGTCGCGAGATTTGTTATGTTGTTTTTGAAAAGAATTTGTATTACGCGGCATTATTTATTTGAATGGAAATGTATGTACTGACTCACGTAGATTATGCTTAAAATACGCATCTAGAGCAGAGAATCTTTTCCAGCAAAAAAAGCATTTTTGTAAACGTGTGACTTAGAAAATCTAGAAATTAGCGCTAGGCGCATTGAAAGTTTCATCCTGTGGTTTCGAATATTATTCGTTGAGGGCCGGCTACTGTTAGGAAGATGTTCGTCTTGAGTAAGGGGGGGGGAGATCTTCTACGATTGAAAACTGAAGGGGGGCAAGGTCAGACAAAAATATTAGTGGTACGATGTCGATTTACCGGGAGAGGGGGGTCATTATCCTGTTGGATTCGCCCTTGGCCGTGGTTGCCACCGTGGGCCTGATGTGTGGCGACCCTGAAAGCTTCGAATTGCAAGTCTGCCATTATTTTGATAGAATGTCAAGATAAATCTTTTGTATTTTGTGGAAGCAAAAACTTTGTGTCGCGTTGTGTTGAACAATAAACTCACCTGGATATCATGGTGGACGAATCCTCCGTACATGTTTCACGTACAGGTTCTCTGATGACTTCAAATGTATGTTGATCTGTTTCACTGGTCTGATGATGACAGTCTTGCAGATATTTTTCCATCATATGGCTTTTATATTTATTACTACAAACTTGTTGGGGTTGGTATTGGGTAGATGGAGAAAATGGAGTTGAGCAACCTTTAAAACGAAAATAAAATGTGTTAACAATGGAAATTATAATTTCTTTATTTGAAGAAAACGAGATATAGATCTCTAACCTGAGATTGACGGCCTTAAACTGTGATGCCAAGATCAGTACTTGAACAATAACCAAGGATTAACACCAACGGTCTGGCCACACATTACTCAACTGTGCTCAATTTTTCATCCAATCATATGTGTACCCAAAACGAATAGAAAAATCCATTTAAGATTTGCTCTGAAAACTGTATTTTTCAAGATATGAAATACTACGTGAAAAACAGCAGGATGCGATTTTTTATACTGATTCCGTCCTTTTCAGCCGTAATCCGCATTGAGTATTAGATAATTTCTCATTATTCTGACTCGGTTCTGTATGTATTGCATCAAGAAAGAGGCATGACACCGTTTGCAGAATCGTTTAAAGTGTTTGAGAATAAAAATATCAATTATCAATAACTTACTATTGGTATAATAGTTCATCGCTGCCGCTTCTTCCGTGGTTGAGCTGATGAAGTAGCATTGATCCTGTACCTTATCCTGCTCTTCCACATTATTATTGTTATTAGTTGTCTCGTCATTCCCACATCGAAAATCCTCTTCGTAGAAGTCATCGTCTCCTTCTTCAGGTTCTTTCCAGATGCTGTCGTCCGAACAGATGCTGAAATGCTCAACGTTCCCTTGCACGTGCGCGTTGTACGAGCGAATCAGATCGCTCCACGTGTGTTGTTGAGCCACCGGGTCCTTGCCGGCGTTTTTCAGCTTGCGGCGCCAGTTTGCGAACCAGTTACACACCTGTAAAATAAGAGCATTTCGTCAGGTGCCCCTCAAAACTGCCCATAAAATATACTAAGTGACATATAAATCCGAACAGCCAGTTTAAATGGTTTTATTTTAATAAAATTTTGTAAGAGTACTTAATGAAGCATAATAAGTAAATGATAAAAATTTCAAAATGATTGCACTGCTTTAAAGCCCTTTCACCTTTAATAATGTGTGGATGCACCCTGATGTGCTATGCATTCTCCAACGCGCCTAGGCATGCTTCTGATCAGGTGGTCAATGTCCTCCTGTGGTATCTCATTCCAGGCAACCACCAACTCCTCTCGAAGTGCTTCTAGAGTCTGAGGAGGACGTTGCAAATTGAGCAATCTCCTACCCATCATATCCCACACGTGCTCAATTGGGGATAAGTCGGGAGATCTTGGTGGCCATGGTAACAATGTGACAGCATTATGTTGAAAGAAGTCTATTGTGACTTTTGCAACATGTGGTCGGGCATTATCTTGTTGGAAAGTTGGATCTGCCAGGGTGTCAAGATAGGGTAAAAGATGGGGTTCTATAACTTCGTGGATATAACGCTGCGCGTTCATGTTACCTCTGATGAAGATTAAAGGTGACCTGGAACCATAAGCTATAGCACCCCAAACCTTAACTCCAACAGTGTGATGAACATGCCAATAGGTCTTCCGTGTTCTGCAAACCATTCATTTGCAATGGACCTGGTAGTGGAGAAACGGTCCCTTAAGGCCAATAATCTTAGGCGGCGATCTTCACGGTCTGTTGTTCTACGGCGGCGTCCAGTGCCCCTTGCTCTTTGCGTACGGCCTTCTAGAAGCCATGCCTGACAACACCTAACCACAGTGTCTACACTTCTTTGCACTCTAACTGCAATTGCCCGAAAAGAAAGTCCAGCTTCCCGAAGTCCCACTATACGGCCCCTATCAAACTCACTAAGTTGACGAAATCGTACAGGTCTCCGTACTCTAGACATCGTAACCGATCGTAAAGGAAGTCAAGAACCAAAATCCGCCAACGTTGATTCTTTACTGCGGCTGAAATATTAATTTTTAGAGCGTTAGTGAATTAAAAAAAAGCAGTATAAAAACCGGAATGTCCAACTGATAAGGCTGAAAATTTTTTCACTTGTTATTTACAGTAAGATAAATACATTCACCAACTTTTATTAAAATAGAACCATTTAAACTGGGTGTTCGGATTTATATGTCACTTAGTATAGATATAATCCCATAGGTATATATTGATTACGAAAAGGGTTTTGATAAAGTTCCGCATAAACATTGGATTTATAAACTGGAGCATTTTGGTGTACAAGGTGAGTTTTTAGATTGGATAGAGGCATTTCTTACTGGCAGAACCTTCCAAGTAAGGGCAAATGAGGTTCTAATTGACCCACACCCAGTGCTGAGTGATGTTCCACAAGGCTCTGCATTTGTACTTCTTCAATTCCTTGTTTGATATTTCATTGTAAATGATAGCAATCTATTCGGAAACCCTGCATTACAAGAGGTCCAAATTAAAAAGGATTCTCCATCGAGGAGTGGTTTAAAGAATGGCAAATGTCACTCAATGCAGAAAAGTTGACGATAGTTCATATTCAACTTCATCAACTACAGTATACGGCAGGTGGAAATTGGGAATATACAGTACCCGAAAGACCTATTCGTTATAATAGCACAAATGGAAGCCCGCATTACCAACAAAATTAAAAAAGTCAATTCACTGATATACTTGATTGAAAACGCTGTTAAAAACTATTCTCCTGCTATGATAGAGAAGCTATACAACATGTACATTCTTCCAGAATTTGAACGTACACATAGCGTATGGAATCACTGTTTTGTCAAATAAATCGAACTACTGGAAAAAGTGCAACATAAAATAATGCAAATTCCACCAGAGATTCAACATGTGCCACATGAACAAAGTCTAAAATCTATGATTTTCACAACATTCGCTAAGTAAAGATTACAAGGTGATCTGATTGAGACATTCAAGATCATCAGCGGCTGTTACTCGTGCGCCCTTCATATTTTCAATGTCAGTCAGAATCTTCGTCTCGGATGGAATACAAAAAAAAAAATAGGAAAAAGAGAACATCTTAGTTGATAAGGAGGAATTTAATTTTAAATCGTGTCGTATTCTCGTGAAACTCTTAATGAAGACACAGTCAATTTACTTAAGAATAAGGTGGATAAGGAACTTGAAGACAGGGCAGTACGTTTCATGCATTATCCAGCGTAAAAAAGACTGCACAACAGAACTTTTCCGCCTACTGTTGTAGCTGCTAATAATAATAATTTCTATGCGACGGTATTTTTGCCAAAAAATGAGCATGAGGGCTGTGTTGGCCACCCAGTGTTAAGAAGTTATTGGTAGAGGGGCGAAACGTCAACTAAGACGTAATAGCTGGGCCTGATAGATCGGCCGCGCCCGATGGAAAGTTAAATGGTACTATTCCAGCTCCTAAGCTCGCAGAAAATGTGATTTATCGACACCTTGAGAATTTCTCGTCAGATCACCATGTAACCATGGGGTTCACCCTGAACAAAAGTACTGGTATCTTGCTTTTAGATGTATCAAAGGCATTTGACAAGGTGTGGCACATGGGCCTCTTGTATAAGCTCATCCAAAAGGGTTTTCCATTTTCACTACTGAAACTGTTGAAATCTTTTCTAGAAGGAAGGAAGTTTCGGATAAAAATTAACAATGTGTTGTCATCGACACGGCCCGTAAGAGCAGGTGTTCCTCAGGGTCCGGTCTTAGGACCAATCCTTTATTCACTTTATATACATGACGTCCCTTGCCCCAGCAACTGTGATGTCTATCTCTATGCTGACGTCACTGCACTGATAGCCCAGTCTTGTTCTGCTAACCTGGTTCACGTCAGGCTGCAGAGTGCGGTGGAGGAAGTATTAGAGTGGGCGGATCGGTGATTGATCAAAATTAATACTTCGGAAACGCAGGCAATTTATCGTACTAAAAAACGTCGCGGTGCCACATCAGAGATATCAGTGAATGGAAATCGTATACTGGAGTCATTCATTGAGAAGGGGTTGACCTGGCAGAAACATACTGATATTTTGAAAACAAAATTCCAAATCACTTTTCGGCAGCTTTATTCACAGTTAAGTTTGATCAACAAGATTCGGCTGTATAAAATGGTCGTAAGACCCGCAATCACCTACGCATGCGCGGCTTGGAATTTTCTTGCCAAGACGCACATGCAGAGATTGCAAGTCCTGCAAAACAGAACCCTGCGCACAATCACTAACGCCTCTTGATACGTGTCAAATGAGACCATCACAGAAATATTGATATCCCATATGTAAGGGATTATGAAAAATTACAGGCTCAGCGGCGTTATAATCAAGACGAATCATACAACAACCCTCTGTTGCGTGATTCATTAGACTACACAGTTGAGCAAGTTCGCAAACATTCCAGGCCCCGCCTCGCACTGTGTTCAAAATTAAATTGTGAATTCAGACGAGCCAAAATTATTTCAGTATACAAAACCGATCAAAATTATTTTTTGGAATTACAAAATTATTCGAGTAGTCAAAGCAATAATGCTTGAGCTATTTCAAATCATTTACTTTTCTTTGCTCTATTTCTTCCTTCCTTTCTTTCCTTCTTTCACTTTTCCCCTTAAACATGTTTGGGGTCTGGGTAGCCATACTTGACAGACTAACAGACCGACGAGACTTTTAAATAAGGGCAAAGGTCCACCAGACCGCTCTGACGAACAATGTCGAATAGTATGGTACTATTCACTATGATTGGTTCAATATATGGCGTTTTTTGACATGAAACAAATAATTGAGAGGTTAATTTATTGGCCTAATCAAACGATATTATCCATTGATGATTTTCGAAAACCCGCATCGTTTTCGAGATACATGGCGAAAAAGATTTTTCTAAAAAATAACGTTCTTTGTATTATTATATATTATTACTTATGAATAAATGTTATTTTCAAAGATTTTGTTCACTGAGTTTCTCGCAACCAAAGCGGAACGAGAAACAAAAGAGTTTTGAACAAGCGTGTATAATGTATATACAGGTAGTGTAGGTGACTAGCACGCATTTACGATCAGTGAATTATGCAACAAATTTTACATCTTCAAAATATATTTTAAAGACTCGCAAAAGTTGAAAAAACAGTTGTTTGTTTATTATAAGGTTTGCTTCAAAAATCTTCAACACCCGAGCAGTATTTCATAGAGGGTAGAAGCAATAATTCGAACAAAAATACCAGTCTTTTTCATTATTGTCATATAAGTAATTTACCGATTAAGTTTCATACAAATCCGGCTAAAACATTCCGAAATATAATATATTTATTGTTATGTACTTTGAAACCTGAAAGCTTTTGACATGAGCATCCATATAGCAAAATTTAGGTGGGTGATTTAGTAAGGGTTGGCGGCGATTGCAAATTGAGTGCTCTTCAATATAATAAAAACAGAATCAACCTTGAATTCCTATTTCAAGAGTTACTGCTTAAATGGCTTGATGGATTTTAACATATGAGGTGTCTCTAGATTTGTTTTGACAGCGCGAGCGACACTAGGTCATGTCCACAATTCAGATCTAGCAAGGTAATTTTCGCGGATGTTTTGAAAACAAAAAAAGCACACACGTCACTCGTTACTGAAGAAACGAAGTACCATATTAAGTATGTTTTAATTCTCAACCGGAAGCCAGTGGGGCTATGCCCCCCTAATGGACGCCCATGCCTATTGATAACATGGTAGCTCGATCTGAGAACTTACCTGTATGTAGGTCAGTCCAGTTTGTAAAGCTAACATTTTCTTTTCCTCTCTATTAGGATATGGGTTGTCTCGTCTCCTTATCAACCAGTCTTTTAAGAAGCGCTTGATCTCGGGGGTGAACAATCTTTTACACGGTTTTCTTTCATCCCCATAAACTCTCCTATTAAGAATGTGGAAGGTAAAATAAGTTCAACAGAACAACTATTTTTATAAACCATGGTAAAAGTAAAACACGAAAAGCCAAAAAAAGTTATGTGAGATCCAGTTGTTTTTCAAGTATTATTTTCAAAATATCGGTTAAATAAATGTTCGTTAAAGTTTTGGAAAATTTTCAATTTTCGTAACACCCTTAGGTACCACGATGTTCAATTTTCATGAATTTTTGTCGCCGCTGTTCACCTAATAGAAACTAAATGAAATAAGTACTAATTGTTGAATTATATGAAACATCGGAAAACAAATAGGTAACTCACAGCAGTACCGACCCTATAAAATACATAAAGTTGCAAAAAATTAAAAGCCCAAGCCAAAATAAAAGTTTTTAAACAGACAATATACGTTCTCGAATTTTTATTCATGTTTCTGCATAAAGCCAAAGCTGAAAGAGGTCTGTTCGCAGTCAAATCCTTACATGTGAACTTTAGTAGCTAACATTACACTTACCCTGATAATTTTAATACTTTACATATCGTATTGAATATTTGTCAAATGTGTATCCATAACAGTTGTTAGGTATCTGTTAAGTTATTAGCTGATAACACACCAAACATAAAGATCAATATTTAGTGAGAGGTAAGGAAATCAAACCAAACAAGCAAATCAATCTCTACCCGAACCTATTGTATCTTTTATTTCTAATTGGTCTATGATGCGTCCTTTCATCTCCAGTTTTTGGGTCCATGTCTCTGGATTAAAAATATACATTGAATGACACTATATACCTTTAACATATTGCATAAAAATAGAAACAACTGTGTTGTATAACGTTAAAAACAAGATGTCTGACATTCTCGTGTTAACTAATCTTGTAAATCTGTTTGTTCTTTCCACATGAAGGTTTTCCAACTTTTTTTGGTGAAAATGTAAATTCTATACATATATTGAAATAATGTTCAATGCAGTATACAAATAAATGTAATCAACATAGTTCATACATTGCAAAACAAGCATGACAAATCTGGCAATGTATGTCAAGAAAAACATGAGTCTACTGAAACTTATGTTTTTTCAAATCTTTCACGTGCACTTTAACTAAAATAACTCGTTTTTCTTACCTTAGTATGTGATATACGGCTACAACACTATAGATTGCAATTTGTAATATGAGATGACCATAAATAACTTAAGATGCACCCGACATGAAAGAGTGTGAAAAACTGAAGTGTGATAGTTGATTTCTGGGGACATCGAATTGCTGAGTGTAGATCTCTGTGTGTTTTATTTTGAGACCTTTTCAGTCTCCCGCATCGCTAACAAGACGGTCACATCGTTTTCTATTTTCTGTTTCACATACATACACAACAGTGACACATATTTCCACTTATATTTTTACATGCCTCAGTTTTGTCGTTCGATATGTTTTTGTCAGTTCTTACTGTAAACCAAACTTTGTGTTAGAGTATCAACCGATGTGCCAGATATAAATGTTGTACCTACGCTGAATATGTTCATAGTGCACAGCACTTATGGATCACTCAAAAAAATGGAGGAATCAGGAAATAATTGAGAATAACAATTTTATTTTCTCGTTGTCCAGTTTAAGGTCAACATAAAAGTTCATAACTCTTTATTATCACTGAATACATCATTTAACAACGTTGCTTTGATTTTATATGAGTCAATGCTCTTTAAATCTTCGATTTTCTGACAATTTATTTTACAAGTATTTCAACTACTACTATTGCACTAACTTTTCTATTACTTCGTATATGGGTTGATTTCCAGATTATCATCTTCATGTACAGGCTTTCGTGAAAGATATTGGTTTCGAAGTAGTGAGCTTGCAACTTACGTGAGCGTTCACTGAGTAAGATTTGGTGAAAGTACCCCTGCCAATTAATTCAACGGACAGCAATTTACAACTCGTCGCCTGAATGCAGAACTATTGTACGTCCAAATTCTTCATTTTTTAGATTTTAACACGACATTGTAGGTCATAGTCACCTACATTGCATGCAGAGGTATTGTAAGTCCCTGCCCAAGCGTTCCCCCATCACTGGTCTTGAACGATATTTGGCGGAATAGCTTGAGGCGCGTCATTTCGCTGCAGAACTATGATAAGAGCAGATGATCACTTACAGAACTACTGTAAGTCCAATGTCAGCAACAACTATAAGTCCACTTTCACGGACTTGACATACTTTTTCTCCGGTAAAACATTCTATGTCCAAAATTTCGCAGAAATGTTAGGCAATTCGCAAACGTGAAAAATAGCTCTCCTGTAAAATTTGCATTTTGTGACTTAGAATTAATACTTCTGCATTCAAGCGACGAACTAAAAGTTGATCGCGGGCCATTTAATAAGCCATTGACGTAGGTTAGCTTAGATTGTCCAGGGCGTTACGGGTATTTGGTTCAAATCATAGTCTAGAATGTTTTTCTCGAAGACTCGTATTTCTTTGAGTATTACTTATAATCATTTTGTTTGCGTGTAATCCCATTTAAAGTGATCTGCGAACCATTTCGCAAATAAGTTTTCGGAGATATATTTTTTAAATAAATTATAATCTGGATACAGTTGATTAACTTCTCTTACATCTATGGTTATTAACTGAAATTCTCTGATAAAAGTTATCTATAAAAAAAATGTTTAACACTCCAACAGTTACAGCATGAACTATTTCAGGTTTAGGACTGATTAATTTCTGATTTGTCATATAGCTAATAAATGTTATTACTTAGAATACGATATGTAGGGGGAGTCCGGGAGAGTCTAGCAGGTGGGAGACAATAGCCGCTGCTCATAGAATATTTGTGGCACGAGATGTTACGACATTGCCACACTTCTCAGACGTCATAGGCACCTCCCACCCCGCTCACGTAGCGCCGTTACAATCGGCAGTTTGGTTTGGAAGTAAGAAGTGGCAACACGTTTTCGTACCTGGAAAGTGAGTTTATTCAGTTTTCGACATTTGATCTCTGTTCTTTACTGTGGATAGATTCCAGCACGCCACTTATATACACCATAAGTGTAATTATTCTAGTCATATTTACGACAGCCAGCTTTTATTCAAGTGTCATAGCTTTTTTTTAAATTTAATAACTGGTAGTATGGCGTGGAGTGGGAGACATTACCCTGGCGTTGGGAGGAGACTTTACCCAGGGTAATCTCTCCCTCTCTGTCAGGGTCGTTTCTCCCGCAATAAATTTTATTCATTTTATTTCAGAGAATGCCCTTCAACTATAGAAAAAAACAAACAACTAGAAAGAGAAGCAATTTAGATCTGTCAGTAATAAAAAATGCTTTAGGTGACATTGATCAAGGAAAGTCTATCCGAGGTGTTGCTTTGGAATATGGAATTAACAGAAATACCTTAAGAAATTATTTAAGAGACAGGTCTAAATTGACTAAAATAAGTGAACAAGGAAGCCAGTTTAAAACATCTATGATATTTACAATCGAAGAAGAGAAGGCGCTTGTTGAATATCTTATAGCTTGCAGCAAAATGAATTATGGATTAACCAGACAGGCGACTATGCAGCTAGCATATGAATATGCAACAATGAATTCCAAAAAGGTTCCAGATTGCAGGAAAAGATTGGTTCCGGGGATTTATGACAAGAAACCCTGAACTAAGTTTGAGAACCCCAGAAGCCACCAGTTTATCCAGATCAACCAGCTTCAATAGAAAAAACGTTACTGATTTCTTCGAGAACCTCAAAGAAGTTAGAGAAAATACCAATTTGAAGCACATAACATCTATAACTGTGATGAAACAGGGTGTACGACTGTACAAGAGTGTCCCAAAGTAATAGCGAGCAAGCATATGCGTCAAGTAGGACAAGTTACTTCAGCTGAACGCGGCAGCCTTGTGACCGTTTGCTTCGCTGTGAACGCTCTGGGAAATGTTCTTCCTCCATTTTTCATTTTCCCTAGGGTTAGATACAACGAATGCTTTGTAGCTGGTGGGCCTCCAGGCTCACATGGTGACTCCTATCCTAGTGGATGGATGACAACCAAGAGTTTCGTAAAATTCATGGAGCATTTTGTGAAATATTCGAACGCATCTCTTAATAACCGAGTCCTGCTTATCCTCGACAACCACGAAAGTCATATCAGTGTTGAAGTCGTTAAATATGCAAAATCAAATGGAGTCACTTTGCTGACTATACCCCCCCACTGCAGCAGAAAGCTACAGCCATTAGATGTTTCCGTCTATTCATCTTTCAAGACTAGATATAATTCAGCCATGAATAACTGGATGATCAGTAACCCAGGACGAACTGTTACGATCTACAATATACCTGGATTTGTAAACACAATCATGTCGCAGGCTTTTAGTCTATCCAATATTTTGAGTGGATTTCGATCAACTGGGATACACCCCTATAACCCGGACATCTTTACAGATGACGACTTTTTATGCTCTGCGGTAACAGATAGAGAAATGACTAGTGAACTCCAAAAGCAAGATGTTTCTTCGATTACTTCACCCTCGGTCGCTGCAAAAGTACCATCAGATTCAACCACGGTCGCATTACCTTCAACATCTACTGTACGTTAGTCAGAGCCTTCAACATCAGCATCAGTATTCACGAATGAAACTGCAGCTCCTAGAATCAATTCACCATCAATTTTGACTGCGGAAGAATACGAGCAAGCAAATACAATACCAAGACGATCAGCAGAGATAGCTTCTACATCTAATGTTCTGGATATGACAACGGTAGATTCTGATTCCGGACACACACCAAAAATAGTTTTACCACAAACAATTCGACCATTTCCAAAAGCTACTTCTAGAAAAAGTCTTCGTCGTGGTAGACAGCCCGGAAAAACTAAAATTTTAACAAAAACGCCAGAAAAACTAGACCAAGATGATAAGTATGCACCGAAAAATAAGAAAATTAAAATAACTACGAAAAGGCAAACAGGCAAAGCAAAGAAAAAGACAGTAAAAAGACAAGTTTTACAGTCAAGTGACAGTGAGACAGACCTTGACGAAGAACCCAAGTATGATGATAGTTCTGATAGTCCCTGGGATGAAGTACCAGATGTTACTGATAATTGGTTTTGTTTCATCTGTGGGGAAGACAAAGTTATGGACATGAGACTTTGTGCTGTTTGTGGCAAATATGTCCATGAAATGTGTGTTGGACTATCCAAAGACGATAAGGAGCAGTTTATTTGTCCCAATTGCTCCAATTAAAAAAAGTAAGACTGATGAAGGTTGTTATTATCTTTGCTCTTAATTTTGAGAGTTATTTTAATTTTTGTTTTACTGACAACATACAAGGTTTTTAAGTTTAAACTACTTATAAGGTTGACTTCTTGTTTCTGATGGAGAGTATGACTATTTTATAAGTAGATTTTGTTATCTTGTTATGTATTATTTTATTTTTGTTCTTAATTTTGAGAATAACTCTAATTTTTATTTTGCCGACAACGTACAAGATTCCATACCAAAAAATAATTTGTATTACCTACTTTTAAGCTTTAACTACTTATAAGGTTTGTTACCTAGTTATGTGAAAGATGGAGTAGGTTCAGGTAATACTATGTGCCATATTTTTTTAATTAAATTTATAGATTTACAATGTGTAATGATTATTTTGCCTAATCCTAAAGTGGAGGGTAAAGGCTCCCTACTCGAGGGGTCAAGTCTCCCACCCATGCGGGAGATATTAGCCGAATGTCACCTTCGCAGAAATCGTTGATAACTCGTAAACTCTTAATGCTACATTAAGCTTTCTTGAGAAAAAATGTAGCTAAATAATGCGTTCTAAGATATAATTTATCGGAAATGAAGATTTGTAAGCGTGTAAAGACTTAAAAGCATTTTAGTGGAAGGTGGGTATACTCTCCCGGACTCCCCCTAGTTATTATAAAGGGTGATCCATCTGTTTTTTAATTTTTAAATCGATGGTGTAAAGTGGAAACGCAGAGTTCTTTTTCCAAACGGATTTTTTTTTGTTTGATAGTACTATCTTTCCGGCTAATGATGAAACACAATCTCATTCATATGCGCGCCACGGCTGAGCTTGACGTGGCCGATTCGCAGCTTCGCGGTGGCCAAGTTACATCACCAAAACGGCTGATTCCGTGATTTTCGAACTGTTCTTGAAGAAGAGCTATTGTTTCGCGGCTTGTGTGGCAGGTCGCGCCGTCTTGCTAGAACTACTCGCCGTCCAAGTCTTTTTATCGGTTTCCGGACAGAAATAGTGACGGCGCTTCCTTCGTTATCTTCATTGGCTTTTAGGTAATTTCATTTGGCTATTCTGAGCACCAGATACGGCAATTTTGCTTATTGTTATAGCCACCAAGATGAAAATGGGCCTCATCCGAAAAAATGCTTTTTCACTAAAAATGGGAGTCCTCCTCCAAGCGTCCAATTTTGAGCGCTTCCCAACGTTGTTCAAGCGAATAAAGCCATGTACAGATATGTAACAACACCGCGAACCGAACTACGCGACGAACCGCAGCGCGCGCATTTTGACGAACAACATTGCGACGAACATCAGCACAAACCGAATGAAGTCGTGCAACCACATCGTGCAACAAAATGACGATCCAATTTTGTTGTTTGTCGTTCAGTGAAAGACAAATTCTAGCCGGAAATGGATATAGCAGTAGCAGCAGCTGCCTATATTTATATTCACTACTAATTATACAAAAGCAAGCGACGATGACGTCCGAGATGATGGTAACAAACGCAGTTATATACCAATAGATCAGCACACGGTTGCAACAATTTTATAGCGGAATTGAAATTTCAGCAAGTAAGTGGACAGTACAAAAATTTTACGAGGATGTCTCCGACGGATTTTGAATATCTTCTCACTTTGATTGGATCAAAAATACAAAAACAAGATACAACATGGAGAGCTGCCATCACAGTGCAAGAAAGACTAGCAGTGACGGTGCGATTTTTAGCGACCGGTGATTCAGATAATAGTTTGCAATACGTGTTTCGAATTTCAAAGCAATCGATCAGCTACATCATTCCAGAAGTTTGTGAGTCATTGATCGAAGTTTTAAAGGAAAATATACAAGTAAGAAAAATAATTCTTTTACTTCTAAATACTCGTACATAACAAAATCACACATTGTGCTCGCCGCACCGGTATGCCTGTCCAAACATGTGCAACTCCGTCGCGAGCCATTCCTTTGATGTTGCGCTGAAAAACCGACAGAGCCTGGATCGGGCCGAACTGCGAGTTGTAACGCTAATGAGGTTCGCAACGGCGTTCTTTTCACCGTCTACACTAGCGCGGCGCGGTTCGTCGCGTGGTTTGGTTCGCGGTGTAGAGATGGCAATTTGTTAGAAAACATCGATGTTTGGACATCGACAAACATCGCCATCGTAACATCGATGGAGCTCGATACAGCGGAACAAATACTTAGATGTATCGAAACAACTCTTCTTTTTAACGTTTTCTGCTTTCAATTTAGCAACGAATTCATCGATTGCTATCGGTTTTAACGGAATGGTTATTTTATCCGTTGGTGGAATTCCCACCGCGTTTTTTTTTTTCTCGATTTCAGAACTATTTAGTAAGAATAAAAAATGCGACAGCAACTTCACGATAGGATGAAAGAAGGATACCGACTGCAGTATATATACTTCAGTAAAAAAAGTATGATTGTAGGAAACTGCAAGATACGAGATTGTCAAAATTAAGAACACATTGATGATCATTAAATACTTTACACTGTGCACAATTTGAAGTATTTTTTAAAGTACTTCCCCACATCACTTTTTCGTGGCATTTCGATTAATTAACAATAAAACAGCGACACTACAACTACATACAATAAAATAATCAAAAGAACCTGAAATCATTAAATGCGTAAATGCGCTGTTTTCAGTTTATTTTATTATATCCCTTGGGGAAGTACAGAATAAAGAAAAGACTATAGTCCATCTTACGCCTGTAATAATAATATTGAGATACTACTAAACAGCTTTCTGGGCTTTCAATTTAGAAGCTACCAGTCCTCGCTTAGAGATATGGTATCACAGTTAAGGATATACTCGGGGTATACCGATTGTTTATGATTCTTTCGATGTCGATACAACGATATATCGTCATAAAACCATCGATGCCTAAACATCGATGTTCTACGTCCGATGTATCGATGTTTTCGATACATCGATGTATCATTGCCATCCCTATCGCAGTCTTGTTACATATCTGTACATGGCTTAACTCTTGACGATGCATATTCGTTCACCGCAGAGCAGATTCTACTAAATTCATGTCAGAACAGAACTAATGTAAGTGTTGCCAACCGTGAGATAAGCCCTAGTTCAAAAATTAACCAACAGATGGATCACCCTTTACTATACTTTTTATCTTCATTTATTGTTTAGCGATTATGATACAATGCTAGTGTCAATGGTGTCAACAACGTGTTAATAAATATTTGACACCCACAGTTTCGACTTATCAGTATATTCTATAGAAATTCTCATTATATGACCGATAGTCCTATACCTAATGTATATTGTTTGATGGTTCGTTATAAATCCATATAGACTTTCATGAGTCGGCAACATTCTCATCAATAAAAAAAACTCAATAAAGAGGCAACAAACAAATTGATACGTCCATTGAAGACAATGGCTAACGCTACAAGAACCAAATAATCACAGGTTGTGAAACTACAGGGTGATGGAGAAACAGTGGCAGTATTTCTCGAGCATGAAGTAGATTATTGAAATAACATTAAAAGATCATATAAATATGAATACTAAAATGCCCCTTACCGAGATACAGGGTGTTGAAGTTATAATTTCGAGATGAAAAGATATATTCTGAATATATTAAGATATTGACTTAAAATGTTGTATATGAAGTACATAACAGCATAGCTAATAAATACACCAATGGCGTAGAAATTGGGAAATTTTGACGCCTACGGAAGAAATAGTAACATTATTTTCTCTGCCACTGACTTTTTTGAAACATCTATTGCATTTTTGAATGAGGTATTGAGAAATGTTTTGCGTTATTCGAACAATCATCAATGGCGTACAAATTTTCATCATTATGAATTTTGGTAATGGGGCATTTAAGAACATTTATTTAGATATATGAACTTTTTGTGTTGCATGTGGATATATTTTCTACTCTAGAGATATTTCCACTGTTTTTTGAATAACCTTTATATACAGAGTCACTCGAAAGTTGCAATCCACTTTCTTGCTAAATTGGAGACTTTAGGTTTTGATAATACGTCTATATCGTTCTTCTCTGAATATTTGGCTAATCGTTCCCGATGCGTTGTCATTATTAATACTTTTTCTAACTCTACCTGCATCATATCTGGTGCAAGGATCTGTTTTGGGACCCTTGTTATTTCTAATGTATATTGCCGATTTGCCTTCTATAGTAGCTAACTTCACAACACAGTCATTCGCAGGGGATACCTAGTTAGTCTACAATTTTGATCCCCACGACCAACAATATGCAGCCGTCGAAGGGAAGATATTGATGCAGTTTATAACTATTCTTTTAAGTACAATTTAATGATAAATTCCTCAAAACCCAAAATCATGTTATTCTGCTCGAATAATAAACGTGAGCATATCTTCCAAACGTTTCATCCCAAAATTGGATAAGAGCGCATAGAATTTAGTGTTGAGTCTTATCCCGCGTACAGACCGAGATTCCAACGCAAACCAAGGCACATGTAGTTACAGATTTAGAGGTGTTCGAATCGGTGTGTACGTCGCGAGCCAACATAAGTCAAGGTCGGCGTTGGCGTTTGCTCCTTGATCGGTACATCAACTAGAGGCCTGATTTGGTCTGCACAGGATTTGTTGCGTTTCTAGTATTTAGTCGTTTGTCTGCATTCGATGAGAGGAAACTCGTCGCTCGACATTAGCACCGAACTTAACCCAACGCGGCCCAACTCGAAAATAAATTTAGGTGTGAACGACGTGTAGACGAGCGCATTCTAATACCTTCCAACAACAAACGCCAACGTCCCATGTGCTTGCATTCGTTTGCGCGGCGTTGGATTTTCGGTCTGTACGCGGCTTAAGATATTTGATGACATTCTGATACTTACTTGAGATTCAAGTTATGTCTTTAGCATACTACAAAAAGACTATTTGAAATTACGTGTTTTATATGTAAATAGACCTTGTGCTGCCATCTAGACTGGAAAACTAGCAGAATCCCTTGTTATTCTATCAATTATTAATTATTGTAATATTCTTTACCAGCTTTGCTTGACTCGGCTCACTAAAAGGCGTTTGCAAATGGTGCAAAACAACTGAGTCAGATTCACGTGTGGTTTAAGAAAATACGACCATGTTAGCCACGCTTGTGAGGATGAAGCTCGAGTCTTTGACTACTTTTCATTATTTAGTATTTCTGCATAAACTGCTCGCAACTGCTAAACCCAAGTATCTAGCCGGGTACCAAAACGGAAGAGAGAAGCATAACACATCGTTCGCTGATCCAGCCGTATTCAAAGACACGCCACGTTAACGGTATTGTACCGTGTGTTTTGCTACTATTTTCCGTTTCGGTACCAGACTATGGCACTGGACTGGCGTGAAGTTACGTTATCTATACAAAATACGAATCGATCGTAGTAGCCTGATACGCAATAAAATAACGCTACCAAGCCCGTTCGCGTTAATCTTTAATGCTTCTATACTTAAGGCCCTCATGGTAAGCTTGTCAAAAGCTACAACCGCTGTCAAAAACTTCCTTAGCGGCGCCGGTGGATAAGCATCTTAAGAGCTAGTAAACACTGAGGGGTGGCAGGAGAGGAGATACATTTCCCAGGATTCCGTCTACACGTGACGGTATCAGCCAACCCAACAAATGAGGGTCAGAATGTTTTCAAGAAAACTGTGTTGTCTATAGCCTTGTTCGGGTTTTACATAGAACTATCCCAGGACCACTCTAAGCCTGCGCAGTAGGTTCTCGAAATGTCAGAGCTCCTTTGCGATTGGCAGAATCAGTATGGCTAGGGGTATTTTTCTATAAAAACCCGAACGAGGCTAATGAGCACGTTTTTTTACACCAAAGCAACCGCGCAGCCAGAAGCCTAAACGCCAGGCACCGCGACCGCTAAGAGAATCTCCAATAAACTTTGATAAACCGATTTTTGAACTGCCAGGTTAATAGAACTGGGAAATGCCTCCCCTTGTAGATTGTTCCACAATCTCGACACACTAAAGACAAAGGAGCGGTCGTATCGGCTAATTCTGGATGGTCAAAGTTCTACAAGGTAGGGTGGGAGGCCGAAGACAGGCGCTCATCGCGCACCGGCATCATGCAGGAGATCTCTGAGGAGCAAAGCCGGTGCGAAACTGTCATCAATCCGTCAGACAGCCCTCCTCTGAACATCATCGAGCATGGATAATGTAGTTCGGGGCGGCAGCACCCCAAACATGTGAGGTATACTCGAGGCTGGGTCTAATTTAGACTTTGTACAGAGTGAGGAGGTCATGTGGAGAAAAGTACTTCTTAGCCTTAAACAAATAGCCAAGCTTTTTTCCAGCAGCAGCCGCTATTGATGAGTTTTGATCGTGCCAGATCAAGTCCTGGGTGATCTGGACTCCGGCCATCCGAAATGAGTGGCTCTTTGGTAGAGTTGAGCCATCATTAAAACCGGGTGAGCGCTAGGACGCTTTTTTAGCTAGCTTTTCCAGGCTATCTCAAGAATGTCCGCATGTTTAAACACCTTAGCTACGTAGTCGGTTATCCTCCCCAACAAAGGAATTAATGATGATGGATCCTTCGAGTGGGTACTAAGAATTCCTGTTGTAAACTCAAACTCACGTAGATGAGAAACACCGAGGCGAAAGCGACAACATGCGTACACATCGTCCCGCATGTTTCCAGTCGGAATATGGCGTGTATGACGGTATATCCATAGATGCTCCGGGTATCTCGGATGATTTTTTTGCTTCGATGTGCGTTGACAGGGTTTGAGGATCTTCCTCTTGTCTCCTTGATGCTCTCTCCTGTAATCTCCAGTTTGCTCTTATCCATCACTTGGCTAATATACAGGTACAGTTATGGGTCTGGGTGGAAAACGCCCGGCAACACCGCATGTTTCAGTATGATTTTTTCAGGAAAGCGGTAGTCGGTGGCACAGTATGGCATGCGGCATGCGCCGGCCACTTCCCATTCTCATTACCAATGTCAGGGCCACAGGCTGTAGAGTTCTCTCTCGTTTCCTCCCTACATTGGCTTGGGCTTGGCCGAATTGATTCTCGGTGCCGGTTGCCGGTCCCCCAATCAGATCCGGATCGCTCTTCACCATTCCACATCGAGCCGTGTCGCCGCAACCACGTGCTTACAACTCCTAACCTTCGCAATTTATGGCACCAGCAAACACTTTCTAACTTAAATCAACTTTGTTAACATGAATCGATACGAGACAATCATGGTGCATGTACTTACTGTGAAGGTTTAATTTATATAGAGCGCGATTTACGGTAAAAATGACCGCGAGTTCGTCGACGGAAAACGTAGTCAATGACGGCGCCAAAGGAGAGGGCGAAGGGCTGAAGTTGCAGAGGAGGATCACGCTGTGGAATGGAGTGGCGCTTATTGTCGGTACTATCATTGGAAGCGGTAAGTATTTCCATTGATTAAAATATTTATAACTTCATTACATTTTCCTATATCCTATTTTTCCTATAACTACCTTCATAAAACAAATACTTTTCCGCTTTTTTAAACTTTGAAACATTCTCGTACACATGTTCCAAAATTTACGGTTTTACTCACGCATAAAAAATAATATACATAACGATGCATTCTGACGTATGATTATTTTTCACGTACTTACTGGATATATAGCTGCTAGGTTTATTGCGTCATGTAAATTGAACAAAACAACTTAGTAATTTTGTAACAATTATTGTACCAATTTTTTTTATTTTTATGAACACATATGTGATTTATTGACATATTTAGTTTTGGGCTTCCATGGTACACGAGTATGTTTGAAATGTACATGATTACATTAGATGATAATTCAATTATCATAGGAAGTGTAAATCGCAACATTGGTTCGGTGATGCTAGTTGTTCGACCTTCCGACCCAGGGCTTTATACCGAAATCACACAACGCTGAGCAGGGACTACCGAGAGCCCAGTGTTGCCATTTAGATGCCTACATACCTTTTTACCGAGTTTATTGAGTTATTGTATGGTATACGTGAGAAGATAATATATAATAGTCTTCAAATATCTTCTACTAGATTGTTGGGATATTTCAAATTTCAATATATAATCATTTCCACTGCTGGCACTGATTGAAGGGAGACATCACAATTCCAACTCTCACCATTTCCAGATAAGCCTGCCTTAATTTCTGAGAATAATCCGTCAACATTTGTCTGTCTTTGCTCGGTCCATAATTTATTTTTTCCTTAAATATTATAGTTTCTAATTCTGTTCAACGAGAAGAATGGAAATATTTATGGTCAAGGCGTTATGTGATGCAGGTAAATTTTTTCCCAAAATTGTTAATGACAATCAATACCGGTAGTATAAGCCCAAAAAAAGGTGAAATCCAAAGATAAAATCTAAGAAATATAAAACCTGCCTTTTACTTTCCACGCCAACTGGCGAGGAAATATTGTAATAGTGACTAATTTCTAAAATTAGATTCGTTTTTCGGATGTTATTCAAAAACCATGTCACTCATTTCCGTCTGCCTGTCTAGAATTTGGAAGTACCATTCGGATTTTAATAAAATTTTTACACATTATTACTTCTATGCCAATGACGAAAAAGCTTTGTAATTTTTGAAAATCAGTCCAGTAGCGGCGGAGCCGATGGCAAAAGACGGAAAAAATAAAATTCGCTTAAACTCCGTTTTTTTTCCTTTTCCGAGTCTTCTAATTATTTCCAGAAAAAAAATTAGTGGTTATAAAAATGCGGGCTGTGTAGTATATTTCAATTTTTCCCGTATATTTGCCCTTAAAACATGGAGAAAGATTTTGAGCAGATGCGTGTTTGGTACAATAAACCCTGTTTCACGATTTTCTATCGCTCTTTGACGTCTACTGAGGTGAACACAGCTGATCAGCAAGTGACATTTTTGTGTTAGTCTGCAACGTTGGTAATAATGAGATCGGGTGTAAATCTAGTAAAACTTGCTTGTATTGTTTTTTTGTGTGCAAATGAACTTTTCAAAATAAAAGAGTTGTTAGCAAGTACAAAATGAATCTGCAGCGTGCAAACAAAACAAAATACAATACGGCTCTGTCTACTTCGCGTTGACGGATCCGTCAAAATTATGTGACTTTTGACGATATGGGGAATTTTGAAATATTACTAGATAAGGGGACCCGGCAATTATTCACACCTATTAGACATATTTCACATATAGATTTCCCCGTACATGTGCCTCGAAAAGTTAGAATGAGAGAAATATTTTCAACACACGCGTCGTAGCAACGCCATGAGTGTAAATGAATATACCTAACTGGGTCGAAGGCTGAACAATTTCAGATGTCCAAAAGATGGATGGCTAGCCAGTGTTGAGGTTAGTCCAATGTTGCCAGATGGTCGGTACTGCCGGTAGGGCAGGGAAGAGATTTCTAGACCGCAACGTTGTCAAATGGCTAGGGACCATGGACTAATTGTGTGGGCCTGTTTGACTGATTAGATCCAATTAATTTTATATTATACATAATCGTAGCTTTTTTTCTCAAAGAAGCTAACTTTTTATACAAAGAACAATAATCTTTCTTCATATTATGTATGATATATTCACAGTCCTCCCATAGCAGTTTGGCTTTTCATACCCCAGAATTCTAGAATAATTATTATCATTGGAAAAGTCTAATGTCACTTATTCTTGGTAATAAGTGACATTCAACTTTTCATAATTTTTAGTCGGTTAAAAAAGTATGAGCTTTAACATAATACACATTTTTTAAGTAACGTTTGTATTAAGGAATAATGTCTACTAAAACTTTGATTCACAGGTATCTTTGTATCACCAACAGGAGTTTATTCAGCTACTAAGTCTGTTGGTCTATCGATATTTGTGTGGTGTGCTTCAGGAATATTTTCTACTTTGGGAGCTTTATGTTATGCCGGTAAGTTTGACTTTTTTACACAAAGAACGAGAAAAATATGTAACTTATATTGGTGTGTTTATACCCATATTTTCTTAATAGGAATTTTCAAAGAAAACATTTTCTTAATATAGGTTACTTAATAGGTTTTATGTTTTTGACGACTAGATCGAGTATCACTTTTTGTTACACCACTGCCAAGATGCTAGGCCAGCTTTCCCAGCTTATAAATGTTTAGCTACCCTTAGCCTTTAGTTGTGTATACAATGTTCTAGTCATTAGCCAGTCCAGAAAACCATTCAGAAGTACAATCACAATCTTTTTGTCGTTTTGCTTAATACTCGTAATATATAATAATCGTTAAAATAATGATATAATGATATTTGATCGATAAATTCTATTCATTCATAATTTATTTTTTTCGCAAAGAAAGTTGTTTGTTGGTTTATTATATGTGACCTTATGTTAAGCGTTTTTTGTGACCCGCATGAACAGTGCTTGTATTGTACTGCGCACAGAAAGAGCAATAGATAACATGACTATTAAGTCCATAATATATTCTAACAATGCTCTGATAAGATATCGATATGAGACTGTTGAATATTTTGTTATATATCCCGAAAGATAAATACGGGGGTAATTTAAAAGGTATTATTTATATGCTTACAATTTACCATAAACATATACATACTATTTATATGCGTGTCGTGGCCTTATCTTAGAATTGACCATTTCATGGAATGATCGAGCAACGTGACCCACAAAGTAGTAAAGTCGTAAAGTCCTTTAATCTCATTTTCACGTCGAAAAACACGCCGCGTTGACATATAAACAAAACGCTCTCAGCACCTCTATTGATAAATAATTTAGTTATTTAACAATTTTATCAGACCAAACGAATTCGAATAGATTAGTAGTCATACCTAAAATTGCGGAGTTTTATGTATACGTTTGACTCATTGACACATAATAATACCTGCCTGTGGGAACATCTACCTTCATTAGGCTTGTGCCTTTACAAATCATGTAAGAAGTAGCACATCTTGAAATCGCTTATCACCACATTTATCTGCAAGCACTCGCACTTTAAAATAACACTAAAACTACGGATTTAATGACAGAACTGTCAAAAAATTTAAATGTCAAGTGCACTTTGATCCTCACTACAGACTATGAGATTAAGGAGACGAGCAAATAATTGACTGACTCCTTGTTCCCAGTCTGAATACATTGATCAGACCAGTATCAAACATGCCGCGCGTTTGATTAATGCTAGCGTTAAACGATTTGTTATCATTCATCTGGTCAACGCACATCATGATCTGGCCAATAGATAGTGATATATTTCATAAAATCCGATCATTTCATGAAGTGGTATCCTTTGGCATCCGAATAAGATGACAAATACGTCTAGGCATCGATCAGTCTGCCGTCAGTGGAACACCCTCAATCCACCATTTTGAAAACTAATTTTCCGAAGAGGATACATTTCTTAGGGAGAACGAGCAAGTACGAACTTGTGATCTGAAACAACTCTAATATGGGCGTCAGTAACTTTTCATAGATTGAAGTTTTCTTTATTTTTGGAACTCTATCGCATAATCAATTTTGCTCTGGAGTCTGGATTATTGTCTAAATGGGTGTCCATGACCTACAGATTTTGCAAATGATGGAAATGTATACCAAAACAGCCCTTACTGATATTTTGTTTCGTTTGGCAGAACTTGGAACATCGATAACACGATCTGGCGGCGACTACGCCTACATAACAGTGGCTTTTGGACCATTGGCTGGATTCCTGGTACTGTGGGTATTTTTACTTATCATCAGGCCCACCACTCAAGCAATTGTCGCTATTACTTTTGCTGAATACGCTGTCAAGCCTTTCTTTCCAGAGTGCAAACCTCCGGAGAATGCTATCAGGCTGCTAGCTGCCGTATGTATTTGTAAGTATAATCAAAGTTTGCTGGATAAATGTTTCACCGATCGGAATTCGCTTTTGCGACTGATACTGCTGAAGGCAGAAGTGAGCAATATCCGATTCGAAAAGATTTGCGATGATTCTTCCATATCGCTCGTTATAAAATCTGAAACGTATTTTCTGAATTTGCTATATGCCAAACAACACCATGAGGTACGAGTATTTACAGTTATTCAATCTAATCTTATATTGTATTACTGCTGAAGCATTCTTTTAATCTCTATCAACTTAAAGAGATTTTCTCTCTGAATAGGGACTAAACGAGGCATGCCTAGCTAAGAGGTTATAATAAAGTTTCATGACATTCCATGCATAGTGGAGATGCTTTCATGAAAATACGACCGTTCTTCGCTTAATTCTCCTTTTGCCTTTGCTGTCGTATTTTATGATTAATAGACTGCTTGTTCCCTGCGACTGTAAGCAAAAGTGGTTCAGGCTAATGTATAAAATTTTGCTATTGACCAAGTGATGCTACATGACTAGTTAACAAAAAAATGCCTGAAAAACTAATTATCTCATCATAATCTTCAAAATATCATAGCATAGCGTATAATTGATGTATAAAAATACTTATACGAATTTAGATATGCAACTTCAGCAGATTCAGTTTGTCATCAGACACTACAGATTTTCACCAGTCCTCAAACTAATTTTGCATAAAATATATATCAACTGATCTTCCAAACGCTTATCGTGAAAAAAAGATGTTGAGATGGATATGTCATAATTTATGTTAAATTTATGACAAAAAAGCCTAGACTATTTTTTCGGAATATTAAGTATATCTGTTTTTAAACTGTTGAATATACATTTCTGATGATAATAAAATAAATTATTGTAATTCCAAAATAGTCGGTGCCCAGACATTTTGAAAAACGAAACTATGCATCAATACTTCTCTCGTGTCAATTTAGTTTACTTGGAGTATTACGGATATTTTTCGTTATATCATGACTTTTTAGGCGTACTGACAGCAGTGAATTGCTTGAGTGTAAGATGGGCAATGAGAATACAAAGTATTTTCACGGCTGCTAAATTGGTGGCACTGGCAGCTATCATACTTGGTGGTTGCTATTATATTTTCACAGGTATGTATTGTCTAAGTAACGGGATACATATTTTAAGATTCAGCGCTCTGAGCCTCTTGATGGCCGATTCAGCCTTCAGTCAAAAGGGCGATCTTAGAAAGTTGTGTAGAGGAAGGGCACAGTGGTGGCGACATGATTCATGTTCACGAAGATGTTTGTCTCGGAAGGGGAGTTCTCTATCGCCGATTGAAAATCGAAGAGGGGGGAGTTTTTTTTTTTTGGCGTTAGGACTAGGAGTCCATGCAGCCAGTCACTAGGTTTCTTATACATATATATTTCTAACACATTGACGCCACAACATCCATGGCTTCGGAATGTGATTTCCGAAGGCGAGATTCGAACTCGCGGCCCAGCCGGCCGGCTGATCAGTAGCACGACACTCTGACCCACCCGGCCAACCGAGGTCCCTAGGGGGGAGTTCGTGACTCGGCTGCATCAATTCTTCTGGGAGTGAATTGCTTTGTGGTAATTGAAGAGCGGGGGTCGTATGAAGCAACGAAAAAAAAAACAAACCCGCCCCAAGCTATGCCTTTTTTGGCCTGTAAATCCGCCCTTGAGTGTAATAGGGCATATCTGTCATTTTTATGTATTGAGAAATTTGGCGCATTATACAGGGTGTTCCTTAATGATATGCGAATATTTAAGGGTGGGAATCTACATGAAAAATTAATGATAGTTTGCTTTATGAACTATGGTCCAAAAATGTTTCCTTTCAAAAACTCGGGGTGTTGAAGTTTAAGGAAAAAAATGGAAATTAATTAATATTTTCAGAACCGCTTCAGATATTTCACTGATATTTAGTACCCAGTGAAAGTTAATAAAGTTGCATATTTTTCAATGCAAAAATAATTCGTAGCTTTAACAGTGGCGTGCGTACGGGTATTGACTTCGATATTTAAAAAAAAATGGTACGCCACTAGTTTTTTGCCAACTAAAAATTATTTTTGAATTCAATTTAAAACAAATAATCTTTCTTGAATTTTTTTCCCTCGATGCGCCATTTTTGAGTAAAAAAATAAAAACCGATAAATATTTAGTTGATATGTCACTGGCTTCTGACATCTGACAAGTCTCTATTATTCAGATCTGTTCGCTGTGACATCTTTTTCATTATTTAGTTTTTACAATCTTGCTAATAATGGTGAATTATTCAAATGCAGAAATGGCGGAAATGCATTACGTATATGGCCTTGCCGACGGTAATGGTGAGCAAGCCAGACGGATTTCTCACCAGAGATATCCCGATCGTGCTGTGCCAGATCGTCGAACCTGTTCTAATATTAACCGTCGTCTTGTTGAAACTGGTTCTGTCCGAAAAGGAACATCTGAAGGTAGACCTCTAAGCGTGAGAACACCTGAAATTGAGGAAGCAATGCTGCACGAAGTCGAAGAACATCCTGAAACGAGTACGAGGAAGATCGCTAGATACTTAAATATTTGTCATCAAATTGTTTGGAGAATTTTACAGGCATTACTTCCCATTGATTTTCCAAGGCGTGTGACCTTTTGTCAGTGGTATCTTCAAAAAATTACACAAAATCCGCAATTTGAATCCATGATTCTGTTCACGGACGAAGCTAATTTTTCTCGAAATGCCATTCAGAATTTCCACAATAATCATTTGTGGGCAGAAGAAAATCCCTATGCCGTAACCGAAACCCATTTCCAACACTAATTTTCGGTTAATTTATCTGCAGGAATTATTGGCAACAACTTTATTGGCCCATTCTTCTTGCCGGAACGACTTGACGGACAGACTTACTTCAATTTTCTTCAACAACAGTTGCCTTTGCTGCTTGATGATGTTCCGTTAGTAATAAGAAACAATATGTGGTACATGCATGATGGTGCACCAGCGCATTTCGGTGTAGCGGTTCCTAATTATTTACAAACTGTTTATTCAAATCGTTGGATTGGCCGCGGTGGGCCCCAAGAATGGCCACCAAGATCCCCAGACCTCAACAGTTTAGATTTCTATTAACACTGTAGAGGAATTGAGAGAAAGAATAGTTGCAGCTTGTGATAGAATAAAAAACACTCCAGGGATATTTCAAGGAGTGCGCAATTCCATGAGAAGGATGGCCGAAGCATGCATACTAAGTGAAGGGGGCCATTTTCAACAATTTTTGTAATAATTTCGTTGGTTTTAATGTTATGTTTATATTGTCAGTTGTTGTTGTTCAATACCCCTAATGTGTTTAATTTTTCCAATTAAATTAATAATAATTTTGCAAGGTAGACAATAGAACTGTTTTTATTTATTTACCCAAAAATGGCGCATCGAAGTAAAACAATTCAAGAGAGATCATTTGTTTTAAATTGAACGGGGGATTCAAAAATAATTACGCACGCCACTGTTTAAGCTAAAAATTATTTTTGCATTGAAAAATACGCAACTTTATTAACTTTCACTATGTACTAAATATCAGTGAAATATCTGAAGCGGTTCTGAAAATATTAATTAATTTCCATTTTTTTCCTAAAACTTCAACACCCCGAGTTTTTGGAAGGAAACATTTTTGGACCATAATTTATAAAGCAAACTAACATTAATTTTTCATGTAAATTCACACCCTTAAATATTCGCATCTCATTAAGGAACACCCTGTATAATGTTATCAAATACTTAAATTTATATTCACAATAGTTTAGTTATAAAGTTTCAAGTATACATTTTTTAAATGAAAAGGCCAAAATGCCAGTTTTCTTATTCTTCGTTCTATTTCCTATGCTATTATTCCTGAAAACATAAGTCACACTGTTTTACACCCATATCTATCTACCACCTGTAGGACACACTGAAAATTTCAGCAACGCTTTCGATGGAAAATACGAAATTACTGAAATTGCGCTCAGTTTCTACTCAGGATTATTTGCATTTGGAGGATGGAACTTCCTCAATTACGTTACAGAGGAGCTACAAGATCCTTACAGGTGAGAGCTTCATTTAAATTCTCGTAAATTAACCTTTAAATTGCCAAAGGTGCATTTAGGTACGCTTTATAGACACCCTGAAAGTGATTCAATTTGTGCAGTTAAAAGTATGAATATATGAAAATTTCGCTTTAGAATATTTATTTTGCATGCAACTAGTCATGTCATAGACTCTTTATAGAATAAATTAAATAGCCAAATTGGGATTTGAAAAATTTTACTCACGAATGATCCGGGAACCCGAGTAACTATAAAGAAGTTTGAGGATGTTTTTAAGATTCAAGCTCCCAGAACTCTTAGACTGCATTCGATAAGAATCGGAGTTCTTTTTTACACCGAAGCAGCCGAGCAGGCAGAAGCCTAAATGCCAGAGCACCGCGGCTGCTATGAGGGGATTATAGAGAAACTTTGTTAAACCGATTTTTGAAATGTCTAAGGTTAGTAGAACTGGGAAAAGCCTCCTCATGTAGATTGTTCCACAATCTCGATATCCTAGAGACAAAAGAGCTTTCGTATCGGCCAGTTCTGGATGTACGAAGTTCGACACGGTTAAGATGAGATGCCGCGGGAAGTCTGGCGGGTCTGCCTGGCAGGCACATGACGCGGCTGCATCATAGAAGAGAGCTCTGAGGAGCAAAGCCCATTAGCGTAGTAATAGGAGAGAACTACATAGATGGCCTACGGCCCGCCAGTGCGAAAGGGTCCCGAGACTGAGTCGTCGATCAGTCTAACAGCCCTCCTCTGACCATCATCGAGCATAGATAATGTTTGGTGGTGGCAGCACTCCAAACATGTGAGGAATACTCGAGACTAGTATTATCTGGGCCTAGTACAAAATGGAAAGGTCATGTGGAAAAAGCACTTCTTAGCCCTAAACAAATAGCCTAGCTTTTTACCGACAGCTGCCGCTATTGACGGAGAAAACTTGATCTAGGACGAACATCAGATCAAGTTTTCGGTGATCTGGACTCCGACCAGTCAAAATGAAAATGAAAAATTTTTGAAGTTGTTTGAGGAAACAATGTCACGAGCCTAAAAAATGACTTGAGTTCGTTACCTAAAAATTGCCATCCATTTCCTGATCCAGAATACCCACATAAAAAGATACTCATATACACATGGTTATTGTTATCCAGTAATGGAACGCGAGTAATCAGATTTCATCATAAATATTTTATAGCCGATCGTCAGTTGGTAATATTTTGCAAGATATAAAAATAACCTATAGACGCAAATAATGTGTATATTTGATCTGTGGGAATAGCTATGATATCCACAACATTAGTTGTACAAGGGTAGGCATATGCCCCCCTGGCTTCTACTTCAAAGTGAAATAATATTCTTAATAAGATACCCAATCCATGTGTAAGAAGTGGCGTGTGAGTTTTTTTTTTTGCTCTTCAAAACATCCCAACATAGAAGATATTATTTCTGCTACCATTTTGAATTTGATTGATAAGTTATCTTCAGTCGTCTTTAGTTCAACTGAAATAAAACTTTTGAACCATCTACATTGTCGACAAATTTTAAATAATCGATGTTAATTTATTATCACACTCGGCAAACTTAGACGGACTACAGACATAGGACGATTTATCAATCGTGATTTGTGAGGGTGACGACGTGATTGCGCTTTGGGCGTATATAGAATGAAAGTGAAATTTTTTTCCTCAATATGTTCCATAGAGCTGAAGCGAAGGTGTCGCATTCGGTAGTTTGCACTTTTAAGCTTCAAGTTAAAGCTCAAGGCAACTTTTATTTCCGACTTTAATAACAGGGACATATTATAAATAAGGGATATTGTATCCCGAAAGAATTAGTCACAGTTAAAGACCTGGCTACACGTTTTTCACGATGTCCACAACGGACAAATTAATTGAACAAGTTAAGGAGTACCCAATATTGAAAGATTTAAGTCACGAAGATTATAAAACTTGCAAGAAAAAGAATAAAGTGTGGAATCACATTAAACTTGAGATTTCATCCGAAAATATACATACGTAAAAACGTTGTGAATCTCTACGTAATTCGGGCATTAAAGTATGATATTTTCCATATATCCTTCTTTGTTTATTGATATCATATATCCGTTTCTTCTTTTTCCTTAAACACAATTATTAATTATTACCTTACTTACCTTTTTGCGGTTTATCTTCTGCTAAAGCCAATAATAATAGTTCTTCTACATCAGAAGACATATTGTATAAGAAATCAAAAACAATTTGGAATATATTACCCCCTCTCTATCGTAATCCTAAAGTAAAAACACTGGAGTTTCAGTTTCAAACTAAGCTTTTTTGTACGATTTTGGCAATCTCAAACAACTATGGGATGCACTGTTCCACGCTATTTATTTATTCTTCTACCACCTTTTTTAACCGCCCAAATTTCACTTTACTTACTTTAATCGAATCCCTTTTCCGGTTAATATTCCATACACCAAAGCATTTTGCTCGCATTGTAGCCAACTCTAATCTGAACTGAACAATCTGTTGCATTATTCTGCATTGGTTACTTTTACATCTCTCATAAAAAGCGTTTTTCCTAACCGTCGACGCCACTGTTTCTAATCACATTAAGTAGCCCAATACGTTAGATATCACGCTCCCTGCTCCTTTTTAACAGAATCCCCAGGAGAGCCGTAGCGAATTATCTGAGAACAATGCAGCCGATTTATCTTTCCTTGTTGAAAGAGGGAAGCTAGGCGACGGAGGGATGAGGATTCAGTTGACCCGGTTTAACTGTTCCGAGGAGGGTCATATTAAATTCAAAAGACGTTCCTGCATCTCTGTAGGCTTTTGTTCCTTTCCATAGGTGGGTGGTCCCTCTAGTCCCAACTGTTAACCACATTTTGATTGCCCAATATCAACATCGATAAGTGGAGCCAAGTGGATTGTCTTGTGCATTCTACACTATAATCATCGGAAAACATGCAAAAACGATGTTAGGAGACGCGATGGATTTTTACTTCCTACACCATTGGCGAGGAAGAATTGTAATCGCGAAAAATGTCGAGATGTTTTTTGGATGCCATTTGACATGCACATTACGAAATATTAATTAATGTTATTTATTTTTGTCGGTCTGTCTGGTCGGTTGGTAGATCTGTCTGCCTGTCTGTCGGTCGATTTGTCCATCGCTCTGTCCACAAATTCTTGGCCCGTCCATAATTTGGAAAGTACCGTCGAGATTTGGATGGAATTTTCAAACAAGGTTATTACTGTAGTCTCTTTCACGAGTATCCATTACGGTAGAATGACAGCTGATTATCTAGTATTATTTATTCTCCATATCGGCAAAGGACACATAATTATGACGGATCCGGCAACGCCAGGTAGACAATGCCATATTTTGTTTTGGTTTTTTGTAGGCTACAGATTCATTTTATACTTGCTAACAGCTCTTTTATTTAGAAAAGCCCATTTACATACAAAAAACAAAACGCCACAAACAAGTTTTACTAGATTTATACCCGATTCATTATTGCCAACATTGCAGACACTAACACAAAAATGTCACTTGCTGATCAGCTGTTCACCTCAATAGACGTCAAAGCCTGATGGATACTCGTGAAATAGCTTTAATAGAGTTTCAGACAAAGAGTACTTTGACCTTGACCTTCTTGACAAGGACGTTTAAAGTTCAACTTCGCACTTTTGAAACGTTTTCAAAATCCTGAAAACTGAAAAATAATACCGAAAATGTGTAACGATCAATCGTTTAAACGTTTTTTAAATAAACGTTTAATCGAAAAACCGTTTATGTGTATCAATCGATAATGGAAAAACGTTTCACTTGCCGATACCAAGTACAAAGCAATAGTTATTTTAAGTGTGAAAATATAATAATGATCAACTTTAATATATGGTGTGTTTCTAGAAATCTCCCAAGGGCGATATGGATAGCACTGCCTTTGGTAACAGGAGTTTACGTTTTGGCAAACATTGCATATTTCGCAGTCTTGAGTGGTGTTGAAATGGAAAGTTCACCTGCAGTAGCGTTAGTACGTATTACATAAGCTCTATTGAAATAAAGTATCCGTAGCACTTATAAAAAATGTGGTTTTTACGCAAAATGCTATATTTAGCCTATTAGATTTTGAAGATTAGATGACCGAAAGAAAAAAGGTCATATGATGTATAATACCCTTTATTGGTACGGGGAGCGCCTACAAGCTTACATAAATGTAAAAAAATAGTCACATGGAAATGCTCGAGCGCTTCAGACTCTGATATGGTATAGGCTCCACGTGTCTCTGATATTTGAGCTGGTCAGACACTCCTGAGGGGATGTTAAGTGAACCCAAAATGTCGGATTTTTGAAACTGCAAGATGCCGCTATTTTGAAATCGCGCGCGCGTCAGATTATAATCATACTGATGACCTAGTTGTGCTGGCTCATAATATGATGATTATTTACAGGGATTTTGTTAATCTAACAATTTAATCTCTACAAAGATAGTTCAAAGCCGTTTAAGGCATATTTTTATTCTGTGTGATGGAGAATCTAATTTTGGCAATGTTGTTTGGGATGTGAAGATATATACCTGATCAGACTTTCTCATCAGGACTACAAAACCAGGCATAATAAGTGACGGAATTGTACGCATCGCAGCTGCTTACATTACTGATTACATTAGATTGAGTAAGATTCCAATAATTCGGCAGTCTGACAGTATTACATGAAAACAGATTGGAATTGTAAGAGTTAGAGAAAAGTGAAACCGAACGAGAGGTATAGAGTGGGAAATACAGTCTTTAATGCAGCTGCAAGCACTAAACTTTATGGGCGATTTTTTTCTTTCGACTTGTTGAAATCAGCAAATTATATATTTTCCATCATTCTTCTCCCTTACGTCTCACTCAAATCGTCATATTGAAAAGTACACTTTTCAGCATATGATATACCCTACCTACCTTATCTTAGTTTACCGCGCTCGAGTATTTTTAAGGATTAATCGAAGTTCACTACTCTGATCGTCTGCCCTAGACGCACGATCCTATATAAAGGCCTTATACGAGGTCTGTAAATTAAGTGATGAAACTGATTTTTTTAATTTTCTGTTGAAACATAATTACAATTTTATATTTTCACCCTCAAAATAAGTTCCTTCTGAAGCCACACAGCGCTGGAGATGGTTCTTCCACTCCTCATAGCAGTACTGGAATAGCCTTCAGCTGGGCGGTTACAGCCGTTTGAATGTTTTCGACTGTCAAAAAATGAGTTAACTTGAAGTGATTTTTCAACTTCGGGAAGAGAAAAAAGTCACAAGCACTCAGGTTCGGCGAGTAAGGAGGCTGAGGAATCGTGTTGTTGTTTTTGATCTGATGAACGGTGGCGTGAGTTAAATTTAACTCTTTCCCGATCATTCTGATTGTCAACCGACGATGTGAACGCACAAGATCCCGGATTCTGTCGATATTTTCATCGATTCTTGAAGATGAAGGCCTTCCGCTTCGTGGTTCATCTTCTGAAAATGCCTTAAACCACCGAAAATCTTGGTCTCTTGACAAAACACTCTCCCCATAGGACTGTTTAGCAAGAGTTTCCGTTGCACTGTGCCCAAGACTGAAACAAAACTTGATAGCACACCGTTGCTTGAAATTGATGTCACTCATTTTTAGAATACAATAGAAACAACTATTTCACAAAAAAATCGCTACACAACCAAATGACTCGAGCAAGTTCAAACTTGTACTGAAGGCGGATCACATGTTCCCCTATCTCCCCTCAAAGCCCGGCGCCTCCAGTGTTGTCACATCGAACGCCACGTTGCCAGTCTAATCACTTGATTTACAGACCTCGTATATGGGTGAGGTAGTCAACAAGATGCAATGTACCCCTTATGTTAATTTTCCGCACTTGAGTTAATCATAAAATCTTCCATTGGACTCCACTACTATAAACTAAAGATGTTCTTAAGAATCTGAAACTTGCTAAATATTGTTTCCTATATACGCATTTGTATGTGAAGTCGTTTGGTCCTCGTAAACTAAATGCATGGAACGCCTGTTTCTTGTAGTTTAAGTGCACTATGTTTCAGCTGTCCAGCACTAGCATAAGGGGTAATAAATATTAGCAAAGTTTTTCGTTGTTTCAAATGCATGTCCAAGATGTTATTTTGAAATGAGGTTCGAGTTTATAAAAATAACACCCATTTTAACTTTCAGGCATTTACTATGAAATTACTTGGCGGCTTTCAATGGCTGGTATCTGTCTGCGTAGCCCTATCCACATTTGGTGGGGTAAATGGCATTCTGTTCACCTCAGCTAGACTGTTCCTAACTGGATCCCAAGAAGGGCATTTGCCAGATCTGTTATCATTCATACACGTGAAACGAACAACGCCAATACCTAGTTTAATATTCACAGTAAGTCTGAAAAACATCATAATAATTATATATTACTCGACGAACAAAATGGGTGATCTTATAATCAGTTACACACAGGGTGTTTAAAAAACAATGCTAACAAAAATGCACTAGAAATAAGACCTTTTTGAGTATGTGTGTGTTTTTTATCTGGATACGTTAATTTTTCACCGAGATGTGACCATTTGGTCTGTCGGCCTGAACATTTTCGAGCATGCCGTAACACGACCATGAAGATTGAAAACAGGAGGGCAAACTACCCTAGGCAGGACACGTATTCGTATGAAGCCAACACTGTAGGAAAGGAGAGCGTGGCTCCCGGAAATGTAGTACTAAGCAATATAAAGGTGCAGACTTGAGAGAGATGAACATTCGCAGAACCTGGGATATAATTCTGACGCAATCACTCTAGCAGTATAAGTTTACCCTCCTATAGCCAGTCTTCATGGGTAAGACGTAAAATATCGTAACCCTTAAACCATCTTATTCCTTTTTAGCGCTTTACGTGTTTTAAAATACGAGCATACTATTCTCCGGATACGGATGAAAAAATATGATTACATTTTAATGGTAATACTTTTGGAATGCCACTTATTTCACCTTGAGTGAAGATTAATAATTGTACTATTAACTACTACCATGCCATATTTCAGACTGTTACTAACTTTCATCAGGTGCCAAAAATATTCTTTCCGAGTAATTTTTGAAGAAAACCCCTCAAGAATTAACTATTTACGTTGATTAACGTATTCTACACTGTATTCCGGCATTCAAAAGGGGATCTGAAAGGTGCTAGCACCATCTATGAGGCAGCAGAATAACATAAAAATGAATTTAGAAATCTGCTTTGAAAATAGTGTTTGGTTTTGCTACCATCTCATAGATGGCCCTTCAATCCCTTTTTGGCGTCCCTCTAATATCTATTTTAATAGGGTATCTTCAGGTGAAATACGTTAATCAATGCCGTAAGATACCCAATTAAATTAGGTATTAGAGAGGTGCCAAAAGGGGATTGAATATCCTATAGCCTTCTGCGAGACCATCCCAGAATCAATCACTCTTTTGACTATTTTCAAAGTAGATTTTGGACGACTGAAAACAGTATATGGTTGGCTATCTTCAGGAGGAACTCGTTATTAATTAATGTTAATGGTTACCAAATCATGCTATTGTTTACAGTGTGTAACCTCTCTGGTAATGCTAACCATTAGCGACGTCATAGAACTGATCAACTACTATGGACAAATACTCTGGTTGACTACAGCAGCAGCCATTGCTGGTCAGTTGTGGCTGAGACATTCACAACCAAATTTACCCCGACCAATTAGGGTTAACACGGTTGTGCCTGTCACGTTCCTATTGTGCTGCGTATTCCTGGTATTGTTTCCTGTTCCTAGGCAACCGGGAAAGACTGCTATTGGATTGGCTATCACTGCATCTGGTAACTTTTGAACACCTTTGTTGCACTTAAGGCGGGAACACACTATTATCACGTCACGTAAACTCACTTGCTAACAGAAACTGCATATCAAAATCTAAATTGAACATTGTTTCTTCATTATCATTCAAGACTCATTGATTGACTTAATTATCGTGCTATGATTTTCTGTATACAGTATATTTTTGTTATTTAAAAAACTCATCTCAGTGATTAAACTTTTGATTTTCTTGAACTTAGACCATAAGCGATCGATTCTTTTAATACAGTTCAGTAGAACCCCGATTATTTATCCGAAATACTGTACTATATTGGGTTATGTTTCTCTAATGGAATGTTTTTGTAGGTATTCCAGTGTATTATTTGTGTGTCAAATGGAAGAACAAACCTCAAGGCTATCACAGGTTCCTTCAAAAGATCACAATATACACACAAAAGCTGATGGAAGTCACGTATCCCCAGGCGACTGAAATGCTTTCTCAGTCTTAATTTTCAGCTTTTGTCGTGGAACAGTGAAGATTTTCCAGATAATGATATTTATTTTTGTAACGTCTATGTTAATTTAAAGTGGTAAAAAGTGTGTTGAGTAATATAAATTGCGATACCAGGTTTCAGGTAAATAGAAACTGCTGAAATACAATTTCTGGAATGACATTTGCGCGTCTGAGAAACTGAACTGTGGATTATAAGCGCCACTAGAGTTACGTCTGAGTTTGAAATAAGTTGTATCATAAATAGAAATGACCAATGCACTTTCGAAGTTTTCACTATTTATTATAGTCATATATTTTTGTATCTCACTTTATGTACATTTCTTAATGAACATCGTTGGACCAATTTTGTGATATTTAATATAATTATACACATTTTTGTTGATTATTTAATTCCATTTTTGGAGTCGGAATCGAACATTATGTATTTTATTATATAGGAATCAGATATTCAAAGAAATAAATAAATGTATACTGCTATATTCAAGCTGATTATTTTGTTTTATTCAGTTGGAGTTTCATTACCCTTAAACTGCATCCGGGCGAAAATGTCGTTATCATCAGTCCCGATCTATATATTGCTAGGCTACACATACCTGTACGCCTGGGGCAATGATGAATTTTATGGTTAAAATTTGATCGCTGACGCATTATTCAGACAGCAAAAGTGTGAAGAACATGCGTATGTTGTGGTGTTATACGGTTGTTAAATGCCTGGGGTTGAAAACGCACAGTTACGGAGATTGCTATGGGCACGGCGTTTGGATAACGAATACGGTGATGCTGGGCCTCATCATCTAAAATCTATTACAAACAGAGTTTGACCGTATATTTTATTCACACAAAAATTGGACGCGCTGCTCCATTCAGAGCCGGTAAGGATGATTCTATTGGTTCTTTTTCTATAAAATGTTACCTTTGAACTAGCTGACATTAACATCATGCTCACTTGTAGTAGGCGCTAAATGATAAGCCATCAGGAACATAGGGAGATACCAACCTGTCCCAATCACGCTGGTGGCTGAACAATACTTTTATAATAATAAAACTCTTATAATCGCGTCCTTGCTTTTTTAGGCCAGCCTTGGAAATCTGGCAATTCTTCAAGTTTTGTGATTTAGTGAAATCTTTTGTTAAAGTCATATTTCTAGCGATTTTTTGAAAGGTTTGTGACAAAAAAAAATTAAAAATACAATAAAAAAATATAGAAATGCAACCAAAAGTTGGTAAGAAGCGTATACAATTATATGCATCGCAGTTTTAAAAGATTTTCGAAATATCAAACATTTTTTAACATCAAACCCCACAAATTATTGCATTCATCACAGACCTGTTGGGTGTCACTGATTTCCGCTATAAGTAGAATTATTTGGATCGATCCATTGTACGGTTTATCCGGATTGATTGCTTAAAGTTTGAAAATGATGCAAATTCATTGCCGGATCCTATTCATTTCGGCTGAATACTTTCTAGATCCGTCCCTGGTTACAGATATCCAATAGTGACAACAGAAGATGAAAAATGATTTTTCCATTTTCAACCAGATTACAGGATGTTTTGATACAAAAATTTTGCTCGTTTGATTTCTTTCAAACTTCGACCAATAGGTCCGGAGAAACCGTTTTTTGGAGCATGAAGATTTTTCCTTGCGCTGTTACTTTAATCCTAAAATTTTTCGGCTAAAACACCTGAAACCTAGAATCTTAATGCTTTTTTCGAAGTCTGTATACGACCATTTCTCATCGAAAAACAACCAGTCAAAAGTTACTGAAAAATTTGATTTTTTGTTCTTGCTTCCTTAATTTTTTGAGTAGTGTACGTTCTTAGTGTTTCCAGTTTTTTTGTGAACTAGGAGTGCTACAACCATGAACGGCAAGGGCTATTTTAGAAGACTTAAACATAAATAATACATAAACGATCGTATATTAAGTTATAGAACACATTTTGGAAGTAAAATCTGAATCAATAAATTAATATTCACTATCCCAAGACTGTCACAAAGGTAACTGACAGCAAATTGAATTCTTTCTTTTCCTTAGCAACAAATAACTAAATAGGTATGACAATAAATACAGTTCGCCCAGGATATCTGTGTTGATGAAAAGAATACGGAAAAAAATTAGGTTGTTGGTAGTTACCGTTTTAAATTATAAAGGTAAGTTAGTTTTTGCTTAAACAGTTGTAACCCTTGACAAATCTTTTTCGATAAATCCGAGGTGGGAAGTTTTCAAATGATGCAGCTGTCATGGAAAGAAACATCGATGATGACGGCGACATGCTGAGTACGCTCGCGGAAGATGATGCTCATATCAAATCGATAATAATTACGTTATTGCTCTATGAATATGCAAGTTTCAGTTTTTCAAATGCGGTTTGTTGATAAACTAGGTTAACCTAGACGCCACGCGACGCCTGATATGGATACTGACTCACATAGCCCCACATAGCCTTCTTTCATCAACAGTGTCGCCATAGCGTTGTGACGTGACCAAATTACTTGCAAATACCAGACAGTTTTACAAGTTCAAAGTGTATCGAAATCTTCTGCAAGTTCAATTCTATCGCTGAATGAATTTTTTGACCATACTGAGCAGACCCGGATTCTTGCGACATACCGTTATGACTCTAAACACTTTTATAAATTCCCAGTTTTATATATGGTTTTGTATAGGATAAAATACTTTTTTGCCTATGCATACGGGACTCTCATCAAGTGAAAAAAAAACAATTTTATTATATAAATATATTTAATGACTATTTGATCTAAAATTACAAGATCATTAATAGGATAAGTACAATTTTCATTTTATACACTATTCGTTAGGGGAAAGTGTTTTTTTTAGTGACTGCATTCGCACTCGGGCGAGGAAAACCCCTAGAAAACCTCAACCGTCACTGCTAAGATCAATTGTATCAGGTGAAGAAAAATCAAGTCGCTCCATAATTCTGGGTTCATTTGCACAATCGAAAATTGCCACCATGCCACCATGCCACAGTTATTAACCTAAAAAAAGTAGCATTGAAGTAACGGTTTATACGAGGGATATTAGTAGTAAAAACCGTTTTGTAGCCAGAGAAATTTTATTTATGAATGCAAATTGTATCACGAACTAAAATATGAGCATTTTTATTTTTTCCCTAGGACACCAGACAATGACGCTAAACAATGGTAGTATGTTTTGTAAGTCATGTGTATGCAGAAATAGTATTGTCAAATACCATTCGGGTATCTAATTTTTTCCTATGAAAAAAATCGAAAAAACAGAATGCAAAGTAATATCTTTTTAACAAAAAAAATTCGTGCAGTTGGAAAAATCCTCGTCTTCAACTTGGATTTTTGTTGCCACTAGCACTCGTGCTTCTTGTAGAATATTACTTAAGCAACGTGTTTTTTCGATTTTTTTCAGAAAAATTAGATGCACTCATGATAATCCCCCATAGTTCTCTGGCCAATCTAAACCTCATGTGTGTTGAAAAAAATCTTTATTTTGTCTAGTCCGAAATAATTGTAAGGTCTGGTTTTATTGGTGCAAGTTGTTCAAGAGGTATTCAAAACATGGACGCATAAAATGGGTACACCAATTTTTGTCGGAAAACTTTTTAATTGACAACAAAGAATGAGAAAATGTGTTGTTTGGGATTCAATCGAAAGTGTTGACAGTAAAGAAAAAACTTTTCATATAAGATTCTTACGTATTTATGAGATCTACAAAATTAAACCACACGTCAAAAGATCCGGCTAATAGGAAAAATGTTATGGCCGAAAAACGAGGCTTAATGCAGGTTTTGGCACTTGTTGGTAATGCGACGATAGTTTCACGCAACTAATTGAAATTCTTCAATTCCGTAGGATTCATACTTCTAAATAACAACAACAAAATTAGATTATATGGGTCAGGTAGTTTTTTGAGAATTTCTAGTTGTTTATCCCAAAACACCTGTTCTCTGACCATCGTTAATAGTTTATTGAGCAATATACATCCTGTGGTTTTCATATCGACTATTTCCCTCATCTTCATTTCTCCCAGTTACAAAGGTGCAATTTTGGATTACAAATGGTTTCCAGATGGAAAAATTAGTAACACAGCACCTGTCAGCAGTTTGTTCGAGCTTGCCTGCAGCAAAACATGACAGCTGTTGTCACCAAAAATTACAATACCTTTGATATTCACGGTGCGCCATTGATTCTTACTTTAAAAACGCCCCTCGTAATTCACTGACTTCTTTCTGATAAAGGTGTTAGAAAGCTTTCTTCTGTGGCGCCGCTGCTTTTTGCAATAGGTTTCAAAAGTTATACGGGGTGTTCGAAAAATTGACGGAGATATTTTAGAGGGTGCTTCTTTGTTAAAATTATTTATAAAAATTAATAAACCAATTCTGTCCAGTGACATGCAATGAAACGGTTTATATATTTCTTTTCTCGGAAACGAAGTGAAATACGCAAAAAAGAGGCAAGGGAGTTGTATTTTTAGATGCTTAATCGATCACCAAATATTACAGTTACAAAAAAGGCAGTGGCGTACATTTGTTTGCCAGTAATATTCGCTAAGGTGACCCCGGAACCCCACTGGACATAATAATTTTCATCTATTTAGGGCTAAATGAGCCTCTTAATACAAAAAATAATACTGTCAAATTTCAATAAAATCGAGTAAATGCTTTTTGAGGTATTAATAAAACAACAATTGATTGTTTTCATATGTTTAACAATGAATCACCATCTGAAATAACTCTATCTATTTTTCGAATACCCTGTATTTCATGATAAGCTTGACTTATCGGGTAAGACGTCAGAGAAACATGAAGAATAGTTAAGTTCAAGATTATGTAAAAAATACCTCTTCATCATTTCAATTGATGTTCGTTCTGCATGTATCAGCCTGCAATCATCTTCAAGGGCGTGAAGAAATATAACTTTTCGCGTCATTATGTTGGTTTCCCAAATTAATATGTCCCTGAATTTCTTCAAACGTATGGAAATCGTGAACGTTTTTAGAAGCTTTTGCTTGGAATCAGGCTGCAAATATTTCGTAAAACTTTATCAATATATAGACCATACTACTATTATCCACACATTTATCTGCAAAGAGATATCACATAAGTACGTTTAAATAACACCTCTGCTTATTTTGAAACATCAAGAAGGTTGAATCTGTATTTCATGGTAAATATCATAAATTTAAGTACAGTTTTGAGTGAGTGGAAAGCGTTTGGCCTTCTTATGGAAAGTTTCGAAAATATATCTCTTGGGAACGTTTCCAAGATCCTCAACAGTTTTATATATGCTTCAGGGGTTCGCGAAGTTCAAGACCAACCTTCTTGATGCCGTACTCGCCGATGCTTACCCTGTTAAAATTTTGATGTTCGTCTGATTGCTGTCTTCATATATTGATGTATAAATCGGGGACTTTCATCATTCTTAACATGCTTTTATTGTTCCTCTTCACTCTACTCGTGTGTGCCCATGAAACATTCATCCAGCTATCCAG